TGAGTGGCATTTGACACCATTTTCGAAATCTACAGTGAATTTCTGATTGACTGATGTATATATTTTTATGAATTTTACAGTATTAGTGCTACATAGTCGGTGTTTTATGTTGGTGTTGTTTCTCTCGAGCTTTGTCTTGGACTTTAAGCATATCTTTTCTCGAAAATGCTTGCCATAACCAGGTCTAAACTGTATCCGTATAAAGGGAATATGTGTTGAATATGAGGAGAAAGTAGTAATGACCATTCTGCCTATCAAACTGCCAGAAGGTGTGCTTGTAAGGTGATTAAAACTGCAGTACGGGTTGCAGATGTGGGTTTGACATTAGCATTGTTGTTGTAACCCCACTTGCTCTAATAAAATGGCAACATGGGGTTATGTACACACTAGTTCACAGCCTGGTATCAAGCTGGTTGATATGTGGAGGATAACGAAAGCATAAAAACCTTTCTTATGTGAATAGTCGTTCGCGTTGCGTCTTGTGACTTATGTCGTCATTTTAAATCAAATGATTGTGATTGTAACTTTTGCTTCAATTATTATTGCGAGTTTTGACCTTTTTAATCATCAAGTTTTATGTGTACCAATTTCATATCCCTGTGTAATGTCTGTGCGGCTTTGTGCAGTGTGAGTGTCTTGAAACAAACCAATTTGTTTTGTACCTTTTTGTACTTCAACAAATGTATGTCAAAGGACAAAAATGTCATGTCTATTATCATTGACACTACTACAGCTAACTTTGCCTGTATTCCTATCTTTCAGAGGCATTCAATTCAATCTGCTTTCCAGTGCAGTACCTAGGAGGCTGCAACTGAAACTCGCACAAAGGCAATCAAGTGTCACTTCATCAGCCTACAGCAACAGCCCATCTGTAATCAAGATATGGATGAAGTGGCATAGAAGAACTTAACCAGTTCAAACATGAAAAGATGTATTTTGTTTTGGACTATTTCTTAGCATAACAGAACAGCACACTTGCTGCTTTTTATGTTTGCCCTGTGTGCAGTTTTGAATAATTGTAACTATGAAATGCTTTTGCCAGCTCTTCTCTTTACATAAGCATCCTTTGTCATGCATGTGTAATTTTGAGTTTACATGCATGATGTAGGCATATTACCCTTGGCTTCATAAAACTACTTTGCAAGCTTTTGTTATGGACATTGGTGCTTCCTCAGATGTGTCCAGTAGTTGATGAAGGGAGAAGAGGAGTAGGACAGCTGATAGCTACTACCAAAAATATGTGCTTGTCTGCACTTCGGGCTGTTCCATCATATGCAACCTCTATTTACTTTGAGTTAAAAACACCATCTTTTGTTTCTTTCCTGTGTGGCCATTGTTTCCGTGGTGCTATAAACGTCAAGTTTGAAGTTGGTATCCAAGTGAGCAAAATGTGCATTATTTCAGTCCGTCTTGAATCATTCGTCTTGAATTATATCCCTAACTGACGTCCTGTTATTTGTCCTGCAATGTCTGTGCCTGTGGCTGTGTCCGCCCTTACCTCCGGCTCCAGCCTCCAACCAGCCCTGCTGAGCTCTGTCGCCGGCGCGGTGTGTCGCAACGTGCTGTTTCTCCACTCCAGCCGACAGCTGCTAGGAATCGTCCTGTGCCATGCGCCATGCGACACAGCAATTGTAAGCTGCAGGTCACATTCGTACTGATTGGCTCCGCATATGTGCATCCGGCCGAGTGCTAGTCGATATCAGGGACGTTGGTCGGACTGTTGTGGCGGCGTGCATTGTGCTGGTTGAAGTTGTTGTATATCTGTTAGTGAAAAGCATTAATACATAACCATGGCCGCAGCCCAATGTTATTGTGGATTTCAGAGGGAGTGGCCAGTCAGGAGGGCCCCATGTGGGTATGGATCCAGTGTCCAGTGGGATTGGCTAAGATTTCCGGCGATTGATAAACGCTTCTATGATAGTAAACCTAGTCCTATTGAGTTATGAGGGGAGGTGACGTGAGGGACCCGACCTTACTAAACTCTTGTGAAAACACGACACATACGAACGGTAAGAAACCGACAGCCATTCTTTCCGCCAAGTGTCATCTTTCTGTGAAGAATTTCTTGGCACTGAGTGTTCAGAAATTGCGTTGTTTTTGGACTGTGTAGAGGCTCACGAGCGACAACATAGGTCAACAACCTGACGTACCTTAAATATGCGACTTGCATCAGAAGATCCAGCTTGATCAAAAGATTGGACATGTCAAATTTCAGCTCTTTCAAAATTTAGCTCAAAAGAATTTTGAGCTGTCGTAAAAACCGTCAGTGTGGCACCATATCGCCTCCCCGCGCGGTCGGAAGGTAAAAGTTCGCCGGCTCTAACTAAATAAATAGTCGTCGTATCGCAAATTCATTGACGGCGTTCGAAGCGTCGTTCAATTTACTTTCGAAACATATCCTAACATTAACATTTAACTGCCTAGCGCAATCTCCAACAAGCAAAAGTTCCGTGCATTTATCCTCATACAATGTTAGCGGCCGCCGGCCGCCGGCCGCTGACCCACATTCGCGTCATCAGGGAATGCCGCAACTAATTTATTGTTTCCAACTTTTTTCCCGGAGCGTTCTACCTGGTTTATATAGCCTTGGTCTCCACCAAGCAGCCGGACGCAGAGCGGCGTGTCGGCGTCGTACTGGCGGAACACGGCGGGCACCTGAGCGGGCAGCGCCTGTGTGGGTAGCACAGCTAGCGCGCGCACCCGGCGGCCGGCGCCGCGCCTGCACTAGCGGCAGCACAAACGCCAGCGTCGTACCGCGGCCGGCCGGCGCCGAGACGCAGAGGTCGGCCGGTGGCAGCGGCGACTCTGTGGCCGCCAGCAGCTCGGGCAGCACGGTCACCTGCACCAGGAACACCTGTTCGATGCCCTCGGCGGCCAGCCGGGCGCGCAGCTCGGGGCAGAGCGCCGGCAGATAGGCCGGCGCCGGCCGCCGGTCGCTAATCGGCTGCGGGTGCGCCAGCCAGTCGGGCAGCGCACGCGGTGCACGGCCTGTCGGCTCGAGCGCTCCACGTCAGCGGCGGCGTCTCCGTCCGACTCGGAGGTGTCCTCACTGTCGTTATTGGCGACGGCGGCTGCCGCTGTGCGCTCAGTCGGCCATCACAGCAACACTCGCCGATGATTAGCGTTATCGAAACCGTCGGACGACGGTGGATTCACCACCGTTTTTGCAGCAGAGACTGGAAAAAAACTCAGCAATAAACAATGAAAAACCTCACAACATGCCACAGCCTGCAATTGTGCATATTGTCATTATATTTCTCACATGACAGAAAATATTTGTTGCTTTATTCTAGGAACTGGCATGAAAAACATAAGCTAAATCAAGCAAGTGAATTATTATTGTATTTCAACATGAGACTGGGAAAAAATCCTTGTCACTGTCAACATGACCAGTGTAACGGACGGGCTGCATGAGCATTTCGGCGCATGATCTGAAAACTCTGTGTGCAGAAAGTTCAGCGCTAAGGTGAACAAATAACATTTTGGCCGCAATTTGCCTGGTGCCTCCACAATTTTCCAAAACTAACTCACAATACTTACAGTCAGTTTTAACATGATCCCTGCATGACTCAAGCATGCAAGATACACATGCATTCAATATCAGCACAGAGCACACACAACAGTTATGGATTCATTTACATTTTGCAACATTACTATTATTTTCTTTTCCTTCAATATTGGCAGCATGACTTGCTGAGTTCGTATCAGCCGAAACACTCTCGACATTCAAGGCACGACTCGACCATCACTGGACCCACCTAATGTATGTCATGCCACAACCTTACGAGTCCTGAATGTCTCTGCAAGTAACTCGGTGAGAACGGGACCTATAGGCCAAGTGGCCTTTTCTATCCCGATGACCTTCAAGGTAAGGTAGGTAAGGAGTTCAGTGGCACAATCTTATGGCAGCAAGTTTGTTCGGGTTCGCAACCATACAAACTTTGCAGGTTTTGCTTCAAAAACAAGCCTTTATACATTTCTTTCATGCTATTCAATTTCTTTTTTAAAAAATTTATTGTCATTTATCTTGAAAATCTTGCCATTTCGGTCTTAGCAATGTCAATGCACCATGCCGCACAGCTCGAGTAAGTTCCACCCAAAAGTAGTAGTGGTATCAGTAGCTGGCACCTTGCAATGTCAAATGTAGATGAATATGTGAAAACAGTGACATATTTATTTAAAATCTTGAGTCCAATGAGCCTACCCTCTCTGCCTCTCCTTCCAGCATTTCTTCAAGCACCTTCGATTTTCGAAAATGACCTTCCATCATTATTTTCCACTTCCGTGCGAGCAATGAACTTGTAAGCTGACCACTAGTTAATGCGCTATCATCTTGCTGTTGGGTGCTGGTAGCAAAAAGATAATATAAAACGAAAAAACTAACACCACAACACCAAACACCCGTCTTGTTGGTTCCTTTTGGTCCTGCCTGGTGACAAAGGCTCTTTCTTTACGCAATATCATCAGTATTCCTCTTCTAATCTTGAAGCCCAGATGCTTTACAAATTGGCCATGAATGATACTAAATTATTATATCAACTGAGAAGCGCAAATCACGATAATTAGTAACAAATGAGGCCAATTATCCCCACACGACATCAAAAAAAAAATAGACGGGGTCCCCCGTCTATTTTTTGGGCTGTTTTTCTACAAATAATGGCGCAAAATAACACTCCATTAATGCCGCATTTGCCGTTGGTGAAACTCATTGGCTATTTTTCTGGCTGATATTTTTTCACGCCGGCGGATATTTTTTCGCCTGGTTGGTGAAACTCGTCGGCTGTTTTTTGACAGAAAAATTGCGCCGGGCTGCTATTTTTCTGTTGGTAAAACTGGCCTCAGAACTCAGTGCTCTTGTTCTGATGTTATTCTCAGCCGGCCACGCTTTCCATGGCGAACAGAATCCTTTCCTGCGCAATATTGTGACAGTCATTTTGTGCCCCCGTGCGCCGTGATTGTTCGATGTGTGCTCATGTGCCCTGTTTGTTCAGTATGTGCTCCTATGTGCTGATTGTTCAATATGTGTACTCCTGTGACCCTGTCGGCCGCTGCGCGCTTTTGTCCTGCTCGGACACTCGTCTCTGGGACCATGTCGTATTATACAGCGGTGACCTCGCCGACTGTTGGGACGAGTCCGGTGGCCCGTCCGGTGTCGCGGAATGCGCCCGGTCTCGCCCGCCCGCCCGTCAATGACGGCCGGCCGACCCACGAGACTGGCACCCACTTCCGACCGCCCGGCCGCCCTTTGCCCCTGACATTGACTGACGCGGCGCGTGACGCGACCCCCCGCCGCCGCCGCTGGCGGACGCTGACGTAAAGCAGCACCGTGACAGTGAATCTGCTGTTGGCCCCGCCCTCGGACCCCTCCCCCTCATAACTACGCAGTACTGGGCGCATTGCACGCGGCGCCGGCGCCCGCTCGCGCTGGCTGGCTGCCAGCTCGTACAGACGGTGGGCCGGGCTGTGGTGACCTTGTGTGGCTCGCTCAGGGCTGGTCGTTGCTCCCGCTGACTCCTCCCGTCCCTCACGACGTGACCCCGGCGTTTTACGCACAAGTCCCCCGATAGAAGAGAGCTCCGCGATTTCGCGGCCGCCCGCCCGTCCGCGGCCCGCGAGCGAGCGGCCGCGCGGCCGGTCAACACCAACAGGTGAGCTCTGGCGCTCTGACTCATGGCTAGCAGAAGTTGCCCGCGGCGCGGCTTGCGCTGGCCGTCGGGCTCGCGCGGCACTGGCCGCCGCGCCGGCGGTCAGACGGGCCTGCGCCGGACGGCGGCGCGAACGCGGCCCGCGCGGCGCCGCCGCTGACTCTCCTCCCGGTGTGTCTGTGTTGCAGCTGCAGCTGATCGACCCAGCGTCGCCGCCGCGCCGCCGACTGCCGCCGCCGCCGCCGCCACCTCGAGTTCATCAACCGCGGCCGCCGCTGCCGCTGCCGCTGCTGCTGCTGCTTCTACTGAACCGCTGGCCGTGCCTGGTCCCTCTCAGCCGACTCGCAGAGGACCCTCCGGATCGCGCAGGAAACGCACCAACCGCTGCAGCACCTGTGGTAAAAGCTTCTCCAGCCCCGGCAAGCTCGCGCAGCATCAGTACGTCCACACTGGAGAGCGGCCGTTCGTCTGCAGTCGCTGCGACAAGAGCTTCTCCTCCAAGTTCAAGCTGATGCGTCATGTGCTGACTCACAGCAAGGAGAGACAGTTTCAGTGCAACGAGTGTAACAAGGGCTTCTACCGAAAGGACCACCTGAAGAACCACATGGAGACGCATAACCCGAACAAGGCCATGTATCGATGTCCGCGCGCAGTCTGCGGTAAAGAGTACACATCCAGCACTGGCCTCAAGAAGCACGTGGCAATGCACGAGGCGGAGGACGGCAACCTGATATGCACACTGTGCGGCATCACATTCCAGGCGCGAGACGACATCATCTACCATCTGAAGACGCACGCCGGCTCAAGGACCGTTAAAAGCGCCCAGGACAAAAAGTTTCAGTGTGACATGTGCAAAAAGCGATTCTTCACTCGCAAAGACGTGAAACGACACATGGTGGTGCACACTGGAACTCGTGACTTTGTCTGTGATCAGTGTCCACAAAAGTTCGGCAGGAAGGACCATCTGGTGCGGCATGTCAAGAAGAGCCACTCGGCGTCGCCGGGCGCACCCCCGCGTCGCGGCCGAGTCAAGTCGGAGCCTCCGACGGGCATCGGCTCGCCGGAGCGGCCGCCAGCGCCTCCGTCGGCGGCCGCCGGCGCCGCCTCGGACACCGGCGGTGGTGCGGTGTTTGCCGCCAGCCAGGGGGACGTCTATTTCGCCGAGGAGCGGGAGGACGTGTCGGGTTCGTCGAGCGGCCCGTACCGGCCTCTGGCGGGCAGCTACCAGCCGCCGCCGCTGCCGCTGCACGACATGGACCTGTCCGACCCGGCGCTGCTCTCGACGTTCGAGCCGTCTGAAGTTCTGCCCGACCTGGGACACACGTCGGCCGACCTCAGCACCGAGCTGCCGGCAGTCAGCTACGTGGCCGGCTGCCCGGAGCCGTTCTACCTGCCGGCGCAGCGGCTGGCCGAGCCGGCTCTGGTGCGCGTCTCGGAGCCGGCCGCGCACCTGACGCCGGAGCTGTTCCCGCTCACCGGACCGCTGCGGCCGCCGCTGTCCGTGCGCGCCCGGCTGCCGCCCAGCGGCAAGGACCTGTCCGCGCTGATGCAGTCGGCCATGGCCTCATCGTCGGGCCCGGCGGTGGCGCCGACGGAGACGACCCGCTCACCGTCGCCGGGTCACGAGTACTCGCACTACCGCTACTTCGAGCAGCCGTGACGGTTGGAGCCGCCCGTCGCACCGCGGGCGGCGCCCGATGCCGCGTGGCACGCTCTGTCTTTCGGAAGTGGTTGGTGGCCGGTGCGCGGCAGCGCGACTCCGACGCCACGGGGCCGGGCCGAGCTGCCGCGGCTGCTGCCCACCGGCGACCGCGTGCAACCACTGCTGTCCCGTCCCAGGGATCGAAAGGCGAGCCCGGTGAGTCATCCAACTTTCTTCTGAGACGTTTTACCGTCAAAGTTTGGCGGGCTGGTGGGATGTACGTTTTTTATTGGTGACCTGAATCGTGACTCTTGAGCGTACATTCCTGTATTTGTCGACCGCGGGCAGCGTGTTAATGGCCAGTTGAAGTGAGGGAATGTCGACCTTAGCCGAATCAAAACCGCCATCTTCACCAGAGTTGTGCTAAACGTGAGCGTACTTGTGTATGGATCGTGTTGACCCGACCGATGCCCGTTGTCTTGTTGATCGTGCGTTTATCATTAGTTCGCTGGGCGACTGGTAATGTGAGTCCGTATCGGTATGGTCTGGGACCCGTGTCCGTGTCACCGGTGTGTCCGTGTCCGTGCGCCTGGATCCGTGTGTGTGTGTTGGTGAGGGCCGGGACCGTAGCGTGCCATGTGAGCCACCAGCGGCCGTCCGTTCGCCCGCCGAGGCGGCGGCGCGCGCATGGCACTACTACGCAATACCGCAGTACCTGTGCTAGACCGTGGCCTTTCTGCCGAGCAGTGGCGCCGGCCCGTCGGCCTTGGTCGCCGCCGGCCGCCGCGCCGACGGTCGACGCAGCGAGCCAGCGACGTTATAGCTGAAAGCTAGGCCAACATGAGGGGGATCGGGGGGGGGACGTCCGAGACTCAGTCGTTAGTCTGACTAGCGTTGTTTGTGTGTTTGTTGTTGTTTTGCTCGCGGATTTGACCCGTTTGCTGCTTGCCCAGATGTGTGCAAATGACTTTTGGTAGGTACCTAACTATTAAGTTTGGCGCTGTGCCCATGCTCTTGTGGTAATGCTGCCACTAGAAAGCGCTCTATTGAACTGCCCGAGTCCCTGCTGCGTAAATCAAACCCGTTTGGCCTAGTGTGACCCCGTCTACATAATAACCAGCCATGAGCCAGCTGTTGGTATTATTTGAAGGCATACCTTTGCACCTTCTGAGCTGTAGTGCAGTGCGCTCACATTTCCTCATCAAGGCCCGCTCCCTAATGACGCTTCGCTCATGCAGTTTAAAATTGGAATGTTTCTTTGTCGAGGAAAACGCCAGTTTACTGGTGACGCATTAGATGACGCGTCAGGGGGTGGACTGAAGTGTTTAGGTTTTACTCCGAGCTGCGCTCACCTCAGGAATTTGTAGGTACGTAAGTACGCCATTTCGCGAGTGTTTGTGTGTTTGTATGTGTGTGTGCCGATGTGCCTGACTCGCCTGGCGTGTGTCGCGGCGTGGACACGCGTCTGGCGATGTTCTACATGACGTATTTGAGTTGGAGCTCCGTCCGCCGCCTCCCGGCGGCCCGGCCGGGGCGGGCTCAGGCAGTGCTGTGTCACCTGTCTGCAGCCGCCACTGTGAGCCACGCTCGGAGAGTCAGTCCGTAGGACTAAATGGCGTGCAAGCTGGTCAGCTAACTGTGCAACGACGGGGCGAGGGGCAGGGAGAGAGGGGCGAAGGGTCGGGGCGGGTCCGCCGCTGTGGCGGCTGACCCCATTCGGGTACAGATCAGGTACTGGCTCCGCGCGGGGCCGGACGGTGGACGCCTTCGCCTGGCGAGGACGCGCCGCCACGGGCGCCGGCTCACGCCTCAGAGTGAGGATTTTCTACGTACTGTCAGTTTTACAGCGGCCTATGGTGCGTGCATTTGTTATGATGATCAAATGGTGAAATAAAGCGTGTCTCGGTAAGTTTTGTGTTTTCTAGCTTGTAGCGCTGCAGCGACCACGAGTATGTGTGGGTGTTGTGACTCAGTCGCTAATTCTCTGCTGTGTTACCTCCCTCCTGTTTCTTTGTTAGAGAAGGTGCGCAGGCTGCAACGGCACGGGACCAACTGGGCATGGCCGCCGGCCAGGTATCAGCTGAGGCCGTCCCTCATCTCATCAGACCGAGCCGTAGATGACCTCGACCTCTATGACCTACATGAGCTCGCATCTCCCCACCTGATATTTCAATGTGACGCTACCTGGTTCCGGTTGATTTGATTCAGATTGTCCCGAAGGCTTCGTAATATGTTAAGCCTGCCCTATGACAGGATAACAAATGCATCTGAATACTCCAGTAGGTTTCCATTGACGCCTAAGATAAGGCGGTGGGAACTGCGTAGTTTGGAGTGGCGGCGTTCTGACCTGTATACGTGATGAATTCCGTCGTAGGGCTGAGACGCGGCTGTGACACGCCTGTCATTCGTACCGGGGATCTGCGCCGGATGTCCTGGCGCTCGCTGAAACTGCTGCAATGTCAGTGCAAAGTGTCAGTGCAGTGCAGGACAGCATTCCGCCCGCCGTGGAACACTCGAAAGGTTACGTCAGCTCGATCCGAGACTGTGGGACTTCCCCTATGGCGCTGTAACTTGGTCATGCGCCCTCTGTCCGCCCGAGCCGAGGTCATAGAAATCTGACCCTGCCTCCCGGTGCGAGCGAATGTGAGGGAGCACGCACTTCTTACAGTAGTCGCGGATCAACCGGATTTGGGTTCTCCACGTGATTCCATCATTGCATGCAACTGGACGGTCCTGAAACAGGTTTGGGAATGCCGATCGGTTCTCAGGCTCAGTTTGCGTGGTCGGCAGTGTGTTGCAGCGTCCATGTGCGACTGCTCGGCGCCAACATCTGCCGCTGCCGGCCGGTGACCCCGCAGTGTGGCCCCGCCCCTCCCACGGGGTCACGGCCCGCCTCTGTGCTCGTCCAGTCCACACACGGACCCGGCCCGGCCCGCGGCGTGGTGTGATGTCACGCGGCGGCTGCGGAGCAAGGCCGTGCCGCCGGCGGGACGGGTCAGCCGCCCCAAGTGCGCAGTAGCCGCCGCCGCCGGCTCCGGGCCGGCCGCGCCGCGCCGCGCCGTCCTGCAGCGCGCGCCGTGCTTCTCCGCGACCTGACCTCGATCGACGCGAGCGCGCCAGGCAGACGCGCCACAAAAAAGGCGGCGCCGAGCGGCGACACGTCGGCAAAAAGCGCGCGCCACCGCGCCGGCCCGGGCCGCCACTACTGCGTCGTTCAGCGCGCGCTCGGCGCTGCGACCTTGGCCGGAGTATTTGGGTGTTGTACCTTGAGTGACGTCACGTCAGCGGCAGAACCGGTCGCCGGCCGCTGACCGCTCGCGCGCGCGGGAAGTGGCGCTGGTCATTGGCGCGGCATTTCCGCGCGCGCCACGTGGAGCGCTGGCCTCGGCGGCGCCCGTATACCTGTCGTGTGTACTCGGCCGGTATCTGCTGACGCCGGCGCGGCGCGTCACTGCGCCTATCTGACGGCGTCGAGCTGTGTTTTTGTTGACCACTGCAGGGCCGCTATCTGGGTCGTCACTGATGTTTTCTTTGGACGGCGCCGCGCTCCTCAACCCAAGGGTCTCAGCTGAGTGGGTCTGACCTGAGTGGTGCCGTGTACTCCTTGGGGTCACACACCGGTCATACCACGGCGGTTGTGTGCCGAGGGTAACTGTCGGCCGGCGACCTCAGGGGCGGGTCACTCTCCGGTGTGACCTGCCCCCTCCCCTCCCTCAGTGGCGCCGTGGCCAATCGGCCGGTTAGGAGGCGGCGGTCACTGACCTCTCCTCCGTTCAGCGAGGCGAGACGCAGCAGCACCGAATGCATCACAGCCAAGGTCGGCGCCGCGGGCGGCCGCCGCCGCTGTGTCGAGTTCAGAGCCTCGGTCAGCGCGACTCCATCTGATACGGCACGGCATCCATCTTACCGAGAAGCCTGCAACTAAACTTAGCTCAACCACTCCTTCCTGTTGATAAAGGCACATTTCCTTATATGCTGTTGGTTTTTATTCACATGTAACACAGGCCACTGATACGGATAATGTGGTTCAGTTTGATTGTGCTCACCTCGGTACAAACAAAAGGTCATTGGTCTCATCGGTCAGCATGTCACCCTGTCGGTATTCGAAAATGACGAATTGGGCGTATTTCTGTCACTGGTTTACGAGGCATGAGCACCACCTGCCATCTAAAAATGGTGTCACTAGCGTAAGTGTACTTGCCTGCTGACTGCTCTAATTGTACGGGTGCTCACATACGCACAGTCGCGATGCGAGATAATACACGGGTCGGGTCGGTATCTATTTGCAACCAAAGGACCTGCATCGTGTGTCGTCTATTTTCGTCCCATTTTTTTTTTTTTTAGCGGGAACTCATCTATCAGAGGAGCAGTTAGTAGGTAATTAAGACGGCGAATTCGATTGTCCGTCGCTTCATAATGGGATATACTTGGAGAAGTGTTTCTGTCGGCGTAAGTCCCCACCCAGTTCCGGTCGCGTCAGCTTCAGTGCTCTGTTGGGAGACGCCCCAGGGTTCTGTCTGCTTGTCTGTTTGGGGCGGGCCCGCGGGCCACGCCCCCTGGACCAAGAACCCGCGGCGTCAGCCGATTTCTTGCGGCTGCTCTTCGAATGAACTTTGTGCCCTAGTTGGTACGATGGAGGAAATGAGGTTATTGCTTGTTTAGCGAATCTGCTGAGCTGGCATGAGACGTGGACTGGTCGATCTTATGCCATTTGTACGGTTGGCTCAGCTCACGAGACATTATTAGTCCGTCCCAAGAACGCGATGAACGCAGGGCACCAAAGAATCGAGGCTGAACGATATTCAACCACGCAGAATGAGTCACCGGTCAATTGGGAGTGATGCATTTCAGTGCTTAGGGACGCAGGCACACGTCGCACAAGATTACTGTACGACGAACATACTATACGTACAAGGCCGTTGGATGTCCGCGCTTACGTAACTGGACTGCGGTTCTGTTTCTTCGACGACGCTGAGATCATTCGACTAATGACGCTGTACAATGGATAGCGCAAGTCTGGCGTGGCTGTGTAGGTTCAAACGTATTTTTTCCCCCATCTCAATAAAATAAGACGCCATCTACGGAAAACTGTTCATGCATGGCACGTTCGAGCATTTATTATCTCACTTTTGTACGCAATATCTTTACAACTGTTATGCAACACATTCTTGAACGGGTGATGTCGCGCCATGATTCAACGAGCAACATTCGAACAAGTTCCACAACTCGAATCGAGCCACAACAGTAATAAGCTCGCTTCACTGGCCGTCGTTGTCACCACCCGTACGAGAGTTTCGATGCAAATGACACCAGAAGGCGCTGTGCTCGCTTACGGCCTTTAGGTCTGGGGACGACGAGTCAAACCTTCGCCATGTTCAGCGGATAACTGGACGTCACTACCGAGAAGACGCACGAATTCAACTGGTCTAACCCACCAACGGATAGTCCAGTCGTGTTAGCATTACCATCAGTCGAGCTACGCTCGCACGATCGCTCATAATTATTGGTCCCATCAGTCATCCAATAATGGCAGAAATCTATAGCATGGCCCTGAGAAGTCGCAAGTCATAACCGTGATCAACTAGCGGGAAGGCAAACACTTCCGATGTCCGACACTTTCCACGAAACAATTAACACAAATCACTGAGATATGCATGATTCCCGCTGGCAATGACGCAACAATGACGATCCAAAGGACGCAGCATAACAGGGGACGCCGCGGTACGGCCTGGGCCACCAGCACCACCTCCCAGCGACCACAGCGCCTAACGGCCACACCGACAACCATTAGTACCCACCCTCTCCCATAGATGTCCTCACTAGTCCCCGTCGTGCAGATCACAGTCGGGGTCGTACGAGAAGCCGATGAAGTACCTGTCGATGCTTCTCTGGCTGAGTGTGGAGCCGGAACGACCGATCGTCGAGCGGCCCACGCTGGAGGGAACCTTCTCCCGGGTGAAGGCGGGGTCGATGTGACGTACGTCGTCGTCACTGGTCTGTGGGAGGAAGAGCAAGTCGTGAGACGGAGGGAGAGGATAGTGTAGTACTTGGCACAGCGGTAGTTAGTTACACAATATCGGCACACCCTGCAGTCTGCACCAGCATTGTAAAGAACGACACGGCCAGTTCCAAATGAAGAATGGCAACTTCAGACGCAGAGCTCGACAAGGTTGGTTACATACGGACAATGACATATATACGAGGGTTAGACACGGTATTTCAGACATTAATGACATTACGGACTGAGAACAGCATGGTTACAAAGGGTCACAACTCACAGATCGTAGTCAAAGGAGACTGGATGGACGGAATGGCACGGTAAGGCATAGACGAACACAGTCGCGATCAGTAACGACACGATTAGCCTAACATACCAAAAACGATATATCATACCCAAACTGAGAACGAAGTGAAACCATTCAATTTAGCACAGAACACATGAGCCTCAGATTCACTACCATTGTCAGACAGTACACAAGGACAGCCCCTTGGAACATGCACTCACTGACCGTGTGGGGCACGTAGGGCGGTTTCAGACGCCGCTCCAGCAGCGCCTCCCAGTCTATGGTGTCGAAGAAGGGGTGCTGCTGGATCTCCCCAAAGTCGGCCGGTGCTGAGCCCAGTCTCTCAGCAGCCTGTTTATGTAGAAGCGCCGTGAGCAGCTCCTGAGCGGTCAGGGACGCGCTGGGACGCAGCCGCAGCCGGCCGTGCAGAATGGACTGGTACATCTGGTGAGTGTTGCGACTATAGAATGGTGGCAGCCCGTACAGCATCTCGTAGAGAACGGCGCCCAGACACCACCAGTCGACCGCCCGATCATACGGCTGTGAACAAAGGTCACAGGTCAGAGGGGTCACCAGGGGTCAGAGGGGCCCCACACGGCGCCCAGATACCACCAGTCGACTGCTCGGTCATACGGCTGTGAACAGACGGTCACCAGGGGTCAGAGGGATCAGAGGTCAGGTCAGCAAAGTTGACAGAGAATCGCCGCGGCTAGGAAAGGCACGACGCCGAGGGCAGACGGAGCTGAGAAAGTCTTCGTCCCATTTCATAAAAAAACACCAGACGAATTAAAGACGATAGAAAACATCAGTATCAACATTCAGCGTACACAATTCTAATCAGGAGATGGAGGTTATGGAGGTTTACTATAAAAAACTGACCATTTTCATGAGCACCTCCGGCGCCATGTACTCGGGTGTCCCGCAGAATGTGGACGTCTGAGTACTGCCGATCAGGCCCTCCTTACACAGCCCAAAGTCCGTCAGCACCACGTGACCCTGGGATAGAAAACAGAACAAGCTGTCAGCAGGGTGGCTATGGGAACGGCAATGCCCTGAACATTTGTTTGTTTGTTTTGTTGGGTTAGGCCCTGTCGGTCTGGCAAGACCATTGCAGAGCCAGAAGGATGATAGGAATTGGGGGAGACATTGGTCTGGGCAGACACCCTAGAGAGTCGCCGGGGCTGAGCACGTCCAAATGGACAGGCCGACCAGCCCCCCAAGCACTCTCTGCACCCGGCTATGGGGTGCGCTCCCTCGGGAGCAGCGGTGCCGCTCCAAGGGAGCAGCCCACATGAGATAAAGGTGTGTCCAGTCCGGAGTGGGGGTTGCGGCGTGGAGAAGAAGGATTTCTGTATCCTGAGGATAGAAGCACGGAACGGTGATGTATACCCTGAACATTCTGTGGAGTAAACGGATAAGGCGTCGCATATGACGGTATTGGGCAAGATTCTTACAGATCTAGTATTGGGAACGACCGACAAGCTAGGCTCTCGTCCTCATTCCAGCTTTGCAACGCACAATGCTGCCGTCCATGGACGCAGTTATTGGACATGGTGACATGACAATGATATGTTGTGATCACATTGCACCGTCTTCCCTCTTCAGCCGCTTCAGACAGCCAACTGCTGCCATCTACCGACAAGAATCGTTACTAGGAGTCCTGCGGCACAGTCTACCTTCAGGCATCTACCACTAGTGCCATCTATACGCAGGAGTTACAAGGAGACTGTGCCTTGCGGTGCAGTCTGTCTTTAGGCGTTTATCGCTGCTGCCATCTACCGATAAGAATCACTACTACAACTACAAGTCTTGCGGCACAGTCTGCATTCAGGCGTTACCGCTGCTGCCATCTATCCGCAAGAACTAGATCTACCGTGCGGTGCGGAACAGGATAGATAAAGGCGCTTCTTAATCTTGCCATTGCTATCTAGTGACTGAACAATACCTAAACGTGGCGGTCAATACGTGGCTACATTTCGCGCGTTGCTATAAAAGTTAACATTTATCTAAAGCGTAGTTTTGAAGCTATTCAATACATAATAAGCTAAAAAGCTATCACTATGCATTCATTTATCGTCGTTATCCATGCAGTGGTTAAAATACCGAAATTTATGACTTCATGAGCCCGTTCTAATTGTTCTGTGCTAATGTTATTCACTTGAACCACTGATAAGGGCCGAGGTAGAGATCTCAGTCCCGTATATAACTGCACCTGTTTATCCAGTAGCATGTTTTCTGGTTTGAGGTCGCGGTAGATGATGCCCTGCGAATGGAGATAGCCCAGCGCCGACCCGGTCTCGGCGGCGTAAAACCGCGCCCGCTGTTCAGTGAACACTCGCTCCTTCTGCAGGTAATAGAACAGCTGCCGGAAAGAGCAGGAGTCGTAAGTGTTGTATGGTGGTGCGGAACGGAAAATATCAACTTCTTCTGGTGATACCAAAGTATGTGCTGAATTTAATGAGTCATCAAAGTCACGAAACGTGCGATTAAGAACGGGTTTCATAATATACAACATTCATACAGGGATTCGGTGAATCTCTAAAATCTTAGAAAAGTAGCCGACCGTGCTGTGTGAGAGGACACTTTACGAACGTACCGTCATTAACCGTTGATTTATATGCATAATTCGTTAATCAGTTTTAACAGCCGAGTCTTACCTCTCCGCCGCTGACGTAGTCCAGCACAAAGTACAGTTTATCCTTGGTCTGGAAGCTGTAGTGGAGTCCCACCAGGAACGGGTGGTACAGGTTCTTCAGCAGCACGTTCCGCTCGGACATGATGTGCTTGGTCTCGTTCCGCTGCACGATCATCCTCTTCTGTAGCACCTTGATGGCGTAGCTGGTCCCCTCCGCCCGATGGTGCGCCAAGAACACCTTGCCGAAGCTGCCCTTGCCGATCACACGGAGAAACTCGAAGTCGCTCGGCCGGGCGCTGAAAGAAAATTATGAGTTGATAAAGCGGCGAATAATAAAAAAATCATAATTTTGGTACCTATTTTTTTTTCATTCACAATCGTGAAATCGGCAGCTACTGCATCTTTTATCGTCTATAATGCTCGTTAGAAAGTGGAAGCAACATCCCTTGATTAGTTGGTATAATAAAAAACTTTCAACATTTTTACTCCACGACCATTTTATTGAGCTATGTCCGTAGCCATCTAAGGAGAAGCCCCGTCCAGCGTCGTTGATAGAGCTATGGATCGCTTTTTACTTACTGGCTACGTTCGCTGCTGCCGAGAAACACCTCGTCACCGCTGGAGGGCGCCGAGTCGTCAGTGAGGTTCTCATCCGAGTCAGAGGAGCGGTGGTGGAGCTGCAGAAACTCCTGGACAATCGTTCTGGGAACACACAGACAACAGCGTCAGCGTGGGTGATTATAGCAGCGCTTCTGCGGCAACTGTATTAGGTTTCATCTTGCCACCAAGCCCGGTCACATACCCCGTCGACACGCTAATTCCCTCTCATCGAGCTCAGTCAACACATTAAGTCCCCTCACCAACCACCCTCCCCTCCCGATCCCTTCCACCCCCCCCCCCCATCCCCTCTCCCCCATCTGACACCCTAGGATGGTAAACCCATCACCGCCCAGCTGTACATTGCGAAACAGTCGTCACTACGCAGCGCACATCAAAAACTGACGGGATTAAACTAGCGTGATAGCCTACAGCAGAACACTGATAAGGATGTGTACACAGATTGCAGCCTTAGTGATAGTGCAGAGCATTGAACTAGAGCAAGTGTGCGACACCGGTAGTGCGTCGTAGATATTCATAAAGTCATGCGTGATATAAATATGTGAATGTTTGGATGTAACCACTAACCATGGATCCCATGTACGGATGGATGGATGATATACATTTACAAGTCAGTACGTGTATACGTATAATGTATATGCATGAGTGTACCGATTTCTACGAGTCTACGTAGTACGCATGCTCAGCTTTGAGTTTTGACTCAGTTTTGGCTCAGTTGTAGCTCAGAGTTCTCGCCCGGACTCACAGTGTGCGGGTGCGTTCATCGGTGACCAGACCCCTGGCGAACTCCTCCAGGCCCAGCTGACGGGAGCGGACGAACTCGGGATCCAGGTTACCCCACATCCGCTTCCCAGGCAGCTTGTGAGACTCCATTGCAACCTGTGGGCGGGAGTATGACGTCATCATGATGTCATAGATGGACTACATCGCTATCGCAACCTGTGGGTGGGAAATGGGGTCATAAGGAAACCATAGGTGGTCTTCATCGCAGTTGATTGACAGGATGGCCACGCCGTAAGTCTGTCGGCACTTTAGGGTTTTCGGAGGAAGTGCGTCGAGTAATTCGATAGAGCTCCGTTCGACATGTGCTTGCTCATGGTAAATTTTCTTTTGTGCACCACTGACGGTCATGGAAGTACTACTAAAAATAAACAACGCACCCAAAGTGCTATTTCATTGCATGCATTACTGAATCTTTTTACTTCAAATGTTCGGAAAGGAAAGACGAGCCCAAGCCCAGCTCTCAGAGCTCAAACATTCGATTGTGCAGACCGTTTGATTTCTAGAGAGGTCAGGAAACTGACCAGTTTCTTCAGCTGTTCGTTGAGCCTGTAGAACTCGCTGTATCTCCGGTACACAAACCAGCTCTGGCTGTACCGCCGGATCACCAACTTGTACATCTGAAAATGAACAGAAACAGTGAACAGACATGCTTGTTTGATTTAGACTAGTTTCAGTCAATTTAAATGGTACTAAGCGTTCAGTTACAACTCATTTTTCAGAGACCTAGCAATATGCTGAAGGCATTTTCACTATAGCGATAAGAGGGAAGATAGAAGCATGGGTAATTAACATTTCATAGTACGCAAAGAAATAGCCTGGAAGTCGCATGGCCGGATCATTCAACCAACATTATTAACAGACTAGCTTTCACGGTCAATTGTCAACATAAAGCCTCATGACTCTGCCGCTGTTTACATGCGAGGTGCGCGATAAGCAAGATAAGGTATCGCACTGATAAAGGTGATAAATGCCTTGGGTGTGATTATGCCCCATGTCGTTGGATGACCTTATTTTGTGATTGTGCAACGACGGTATTATTAGACCATAGAGATCAAAGTCATTGCTCAACAGTATGTACATTTTTACATCGTTATATTAGGGGCAATTTGTGCCGCATCCATGCATTTCCTAGGGTCAGACCTCGATATATCGTACATCAACAGAGGGCATGCACCTAAGTCACATGTCAGGACAAGGCGTCAACAGACTGACTCATCTTTCCAAGCATTCCTCAAGTGTCCAGTCATTGACTATTGACAATGTGTTGTGGTACCTATTTGGCATTCCAAAGATACGCTGGAGTGACCTCTCGACCCGAAGCTGGATGGATGACTCAGAGAGGCGGGCCAGTATGACGTAACGTGTATACAGGGGCATGTTTGCTTCCTGGGACTTGGGAAGGAACCGAGATAAAGGGCCGAGCGGTGGCTGAGTCAGAGGGCCCTGTGAGAGCGTTAGGCCGACTAATCAGTCACCATGTTGTAATCTGTATCGGGCGCAATCAGTCATATCTTAGAGCTAGTTATCGGACTAGTTCATGTTAAGTCAAGTTTCGACGTGGGTTTATTTTTGTGTTCGCATTGACGGGTCGAATATGTCAGGTAAAGATAAGTACCTTTCGTGTCTGTCAGTATTTTCTCATTGAGCAAAACTAGCAGGGAAAACGAGCAAGAATAGCGCAATAGGTGAATCTCTTGTTCGATATGTCAAGATCGGGAAAAGTTTACAAAATCATTTGGGCGATTCATTCAGGCCAGCTGCTTCTAGTATATTGCCCGAGTCAGAATATGGTTCGAAGTTCGGACAAAGACCGGGGAATTTAATCAGTGCTAGGTGGACCAAACCCTGCCAGGTATAGCTGTAGGTCGGCGCCCACTGTGCACACCCCAACCGGTGGTCTCATCACTCACCGTATACTTGTGGTCCCATGTCTCGGAGTCTGTGATATCCACTTCAATCTCAGAGCCCGAATCGTCTGAGCGGCGCCGGACCTCCATCTTTGGAGTCAGCTCGCCGCGATACTCCGCCGTGGAATCCCGGAACTCCTAGACACTGAGTACTGGAGCAGTCGGGTCACTGGAGTATTCTGCCCCTGAAGTGATTGAGTCACTGGTTGCTGGAGTGACTGGGTCACTGGAGTGACCGGGTGGCCTTTTTAAGTCGGCGGGCTGTTCGGCGGGGTCGGCACTGGGCAGCTGGGTGGACTCTCGAGTCGTCCGTAGGCCGGCGCGGTTTACCGTAGTCGTACACGGCTCCGTAGCTTCTTCCGTGCAGCACACCTGCGGACAGGGAGAAACGGACCGTTCAGAAAGCTTGCTGATGAGGTGTCATTGGACAGCGAAATTACCTGCGCCATGAAACAAGCGTGTTCTGTGGTATCAAGTGAACATCGATAACGTCCTGAAGGCCCGAGATGGCACCTGATATCCATCTGATACGGATCTAGCGTCTTACTTATCAATATCGTACCATTGGGATGCTATATTTATACCGTTACGAAATCAGTAGCCAATTTAGAGTCAAACGAATGAACGAATCCATATGAACAGTGTGAACGAATCCATACTCGTAATTGGGGTCAGTAACAGCAAACAGAACATGTGGGTCGCTTGCTCACCGTTCATTGTGTCCACTGATAGAGGATCGACCAACAAACCGATAGGAACGCCCACCCACGGTCGGGGACTCTTAGTAACACCGACATTTGGGCATTACCGGTTACGACTCTATACAAAAATAGACGATCAACGACAGCAAGTGCACGACTGGTAGCTGGAGATGCTAAACAGAGACAGAAACAATCTTTAATCGACTGATGGCGTGTCTGAGAACCAGCATCACCAACCAGCATCACCGAACAAAGACATCGCTTGCTTTTATAACCACCGCTTCGGTAAGCCCAGCTCAGTTTGTAATCAGATACTGCGCGCGGTTGACACAGCAGCTGCGGGTAGAACACCTCTCTGTCATATGTGAATGGGGTGCTGGGTCTGTAGTGTCCCACTGGTCACATACTGTATATGAGTCACGAGACAGAGCACAGGGTGCGTCTCCCCACCCCGGGTCAACAGCCGAAAGGCAGATGGCCCTCACTGCGCAGTGCGCAACGGGTTGTCGCGAGCTGTTGAACTGGACGGCGACGAGCTGACAGTGGAGGACGGACAGAGACAGAGACAGAGACAGAGACAGAGACAGAGAGAGAGATAGAGAGAGAGAGAGAGAGAGAGAGAGGGAGAGGGAGAGAGAGAGAGAGAGAGGGAGAGAGAGAGAGAGAGAGGGAGAGTGAGAGAGAGAGAGAACAGGGAAAGAGGAGGGAAACACAACAGCTGTTATAAACTGACGGCTAGAGCTGTGCATCGTCGGTGAGACGTGCGTGCGTAATGTGTTGCGCCAGTGCAGTCCTGCCTAAAGTAAGACAGAACTGCGTCAATAGCCCCGTTTACATAGGAGTTGCCAGATTCACATGCCAGCTCGATCTACTTTCAGGTGTTCGGCCTCCGCCATGTCGACAAATGCTGCGCAGCAAATACAAAATCCAGAAATGTGGTAATGGAGTGCTGGCCACCAAAAAGAAAAAGCCTGCCAAGTTTATGACGCTCTTCATGTTATGTAGTTTTGATAATAAACGACGCATGGGCTTCAAATGAATTGTATGTCGTACATTTGGGCATCATATGAGTTGAATATTGCAAAGTTTTTGCCCAACATTTTAGCATAAGACTAAGTTGTTTCAGAGGTGGAGATCTCGGGGGGGGGGGGGGTCGGGGTGTCAGGACCCCCCTGAAAACGAATTACTGCTATGTAAGTCAACGGTACTGCATCCAGCCCGCCTCCATCTGCCCGGCCTGGACCCCCGCTGAAATTTTGACAGATCTCCACCCCTGAGTTGTTTCCATGAAAACGATGAAAATAAAGCTGATTGTTATGTTCGATGCACTCCTTGCGGCTTACATTTAGCGGATTGCATTTATTCATATTCTGCATTCATTTATAGAAAGATCAAATATATAACACCCCTTTTCCCGCTTACCTTCAACCTCTGAGCAGTGACATTTTCTTGATCGATTCAAAAGGCATGGAAACACCAAGCAGAAACTGAGTGCGTAAGATATTTGGTAGCAGGTATCACATACGCTCTAAATGACTTTCTAAGCAGATTCGAGAGTCAGTACCTAATTACCTCTAATCACGTTGCGCTCATTCATCAAGTCAAATACCTAAACCGATTGGTAGCGTCATCTAGGCGATCATAAGTGCCAAACTGCTAGTTGAAGACTTCTATTATAGATGGCACTGCTAGACAAGCCAGAGCTAAGCCAGAGGATTTTACCACCGCCGTGAAAAATTCCTAACCAAAGGCGCACTCCGGTCCCCTCAACATAAAACTCCCGATATTTCTCTGACCAATCAGAGTAAGCCTTGCTCGGCGCTGATTTGCTAATCAGAAAATGACGTCATTAGGGAGCCACGGCGTTCAAGCTGTTTTGTGGCGGTTCAAGTGATCCACTTAGAAGTCATATTTTGATGTTTTTAGAAAAGTCTAGGATGAATGCTTTTATATTTTCAGAAAAGAACCCTTAATGTTGTTGTTGATAAACCCAACTTCGCTATTTTTGCCAATAGTAATAAGCCAGGAAATCATCTCTTGATGGGTCTTCACGCTAAATCTACCACCCCCAACTACGTCATCATCGTTCCTAAGCATGCTGTACTTGGTCATTACTTCGTTGCCCAGCACTAGTTAGCCTTGATTTCCGCCAATCAGAGTGCAGAGCTGTCTGCCGAGAGACAGCAGTACTCGATATTAGTGGTGGGCCAAATACTTGTTTTCTAAGATGTTTTTCTTTCAAGCCTTTTATATCTTACTTTTGTTTATATTATATATCGTTTTATATTTTGTTTTTGTAAAGTATATCTGCATATATTGTGATTTATATAGCTTTACTTAGCTAATATGGCAAAGTGTTTACGAGGGGGTGCAGGGAGATATGGCAGCAGATATGGTGCTTGCAAATAGTCTTTGTACGCATGAAATAGTACCCTTTTTTCGAGCCGAAAATAGCCTATTTATTGCAATTTATTGATGTATTATGCCTGAATTCCGAGAAAGTGGTCTTTGTAGCATTGAATACAGTCACTTGTGATAGTTGCAAAAGGTCACTGGCCAGTTTTGTGATATCTCTAAGCCATCTAGGGAAATGTCTAAATGCTATGTAAACAGGGTTAATGTCTGAGACCACAACGAGGTCACTGGCAGCTCGGTATGTCAACACTGCCCGGAATTTCAGACACAGCCCAGACGTCGGCCGTCATCTTGAGTTAAATGTCAGAGCTGCACATAATTTGAAGACGGGATAAGTGGCAGCCAGCACACATCTTTTTAGAGCACGACGCCTGCCAGTAGTGTTTTGTAGAGAGGAACGTGAAATATGGATGGATGGTGTGTGTACTGTACTGTGTAGCTATACACAATGGTAAAAACATAATAGTTACTACCACCGGTGGAAAATCAAGTCCTATGCAAACTACTCTAAACGAAAAGCAAGCTTAAATTGTGCGAGAAAAGCTACTGTAAACCCGCTCCATTTCATTCATGCTTATATTTCCACCGCTAGATGGCAGCAGCAAACGCGCCGTAAGGTAGGCTGTACCGCAACACCGCTAGCTCGGATCAGAATCCCCCACCTAAGGCGCTGGGCCGAGGGCCCAGTAAAAACCACGCGGCATCAGAGCGCGGATCAAGTGAGGCGCTGTGCTCCACACCAAGGCCGTCGCCCGCATACACACTCGGTAATTCCGCGCGCGCGTCCTTCTAACGCCCGGCGACTGTGACGGTGACTGTGCACATCTCACGCCGGGCCGGGCAGGGAGTGCCCTCGGCGGCGGCTGTTCCGGGTGGTATCTCACCGCTGAGCTCACCGCTCATCTCTCAGCTGGTCCGTTTAGCAGCTGGGTGCTTTGGTGTGCTCGTGACGACACTCGTGACGCGCAGGGTACGGTGCTGCGCACCCGACCCGATCGCAGCGTTTGGGATCGACCGCAGAGCGATCGAACATTGACGAGCACGCTCCGTCATGCTGCAGCTGCAAGTTATATAACATCAACTAATGTAAGCGTGCTCTATAATACCAGAGGCGTAACTTAGTCAAACCAAACCATTCTAGACATGGTGTATATTCGACGACCCTGACACAATTATGACTTACGGAAGAGAAGAGAAGATCCAGAGAAGGAAAGGGTTTGTGAAGGAAGGGGGAGGAGAGCCCCTTTGAAACCAGACTGGGTCAGGGAATAAGTAAAACTAACCTATTATAAAGTGAATGACACAACTCAGCACTTGTATTTACAACGCAAATGATCAAAATTCGAGTGGTCCCTTTAATTCGTGAATGAATGACTGAACGAACGAACGAAGCCACGCAATTGAAACCATATGAAGGTAATGTAGCGTGTCCATATCACTGTACCCGGTAAAACTGCTACGACTCTTCCGAACACGCTTTCAACACCCTACCTAATTTCACAAGGAGCACGGAGCACGTGATTTGCACCTGCCGGTGGCCGCGAAGCTTCCTCGCCTCGATGAGTCACCGGCCCGCCGTGCGCAGTCACACTACAGAAGGAATGTCTGAGTGGCAAAAGGGGCAGCTGTTGTTCTCTGGAAGCCGGATCGACAGACGAGCTCAGCTGTCGATCACCTGTTGACGAGCTCACCTCCGATGGCCCAGCGAGGGTGACGAAGTGTGGTGTCGAGTGGCCCGTCCGGCGCGGTCCGGATGAGCCACCGGACAAACATGTCAAACATCCGTCCTCGGTACCCTCGGTATAGGCCAGGGGGAACCGTATCACTTACACACGCTGCTTTATGGGTCAAGAGAGGACCGTATCTTAGCTAAAACTTCGCTCATCAAATGCCCGGCTCCGTCGAAGGCCGTCGTCTAAGAGTTACTTAGTCATGATGATAAGGCCACTGCTGGAGGGACCTCGTGATCACACAAATCCAGCGGCAGCGATGGCAAAGCACGGGTGATGCGTCATCGTGGGTATGCATTTTGCTGGCTGGACACGTTCAGAGGGAACCGTAGCCTTGCCTTGTCATGTTGTCTGAACTCCTGATCTCCGCCCAGCATTTGCTGGCGGCGGTCCGCGGAAAACTTCCTATAGGAAGCATATATGCTCCCATTTGTCCTTCCATCGGGACCATCCTTGATCACGATTCCCTACCTAGGACGAGTATCAAACCCTCAGACAACCGCTCGAGGACAGATTCGAGAGAATCTCATTCCTCAGGGGCGGCCTAAGTGTGACTGGCGCCTGGCTGGGTGGCCTGTCCGTACCACGCCACCTGTTGGGGACACTCCCGTCCCAGCGGAACGAGCTCAGCCACTGCGGTGCACCAGTCGATGGTCCCCTCAGCAGTCAGCCCAGTGAACGTCTCCCCTCATCCATTCATTCCACGGCCATGAAATGGTCTCAATACAAAGACAGACGCAAAAACCCAGCAAAACCAAAACTGCCTATGATTACGATCAATTTGCTACAGGAAGGGAAGACAGCCGGCTGACAGGAAGTGAGTCCAATGCCCCAGCCAAGCGTCTCCAACTGACGGGATAAAAACATGGTGAACGGCTGACAGTCGCACGGATAGGCTACAGCGAGTAGGGGGAGGGAGGGAGGGAGGGAGAGAAAGAGAGAGAGAGAGAGAGAGAGAGAGGGAGGGAGGGAAGGATGGAGGGAGGAAAGGGAGGGTAGGAGAGTAAAGAGGGAAAAGGATAGATAGTGGTATGGTAGGAGCCTAAGAACAATCAAGTAGTTTTAACCAGCCAAAGAAGTGGGTGTGTGAAAGATGGAGACGGGGGGGGGGGGGGTGAGGGCAGCGAAAGGAGAGGGGAGGCGAAAGGGCGTGTTCATCGATGCAACACCAGCGCCCGGATACGATATGAGCACAGACATTATCAGCTTTGATTATCAGGAAATTCCAATGTGTGATTTACCCCGAACAATGCACACTTGTGAACACACCAGGGCCTGATGATAACGAACGTCAGCAGCTCTGACAGACATCAGCCTGTTCCATTGGGCCTGGCCATGCTTCGCCACAACAACAAAGAACGCCAGCAGCCCTAGCAGGGCCTCGGCTAACATGTTAACTGGTGGGCCAAATGGCCCACCAGTGACCCGAAGTGGCCCACCAGCCTCAAAGATTTGGCCCACCAGTAATTTTCCGAAAAATCTAAGTTTCCACATTTTTCACATTTCAAATTGAATTAGCAGATCTTATCGTACATTTTCAGGCTGTAAAGTACCCATCGGTGAAACATATTCTTGTGAAAAAAAATCAACCTATTGTTTGCAATATCCTCTTGGGGTAAAAAGTGAACTATAGTGGACTAAGTGGACTAAGCCTCGGTCACACTTCACCGGATTGGACCAATGGACGAGAAACGGACGGCGTCCGGTGATGTCCGGGGGATGTCCGTTCGTTTCCGTTGGACGTCCGTTTCTCATCCGTTCATATCCGTTCCATGTCCGGTGGTGTCCGGTGTGCTCAACCGGACACCACCGGACATGGAACGGATATTAACGGATGACAAACGGACGGCCAACGGAAACAAACGTACATCACCGGATGCTGACAGTTCTCGTCCGTTTCTCGTCCGTTGGTCCAATCCGGTGAAGTGTGACCGAGGCTTTAAATTTTATGCAATAATCGCGAAAGACGTCTGCCTCTGTCAATTACAGATAGTGTCGGCGGCTTCCAGCCGATCGAGGTCTGCGAGAGTTCTTGCAAGCTTTCCGATCGATCGAGTGGTTGCAGTCACATAAGCATTTGCCGCAGACCAGTCGGTTACAAGAAAAACTACGAATAAAGAACAGACCAGTTCAGACGGTCGGGGATAAGCCTGCGAGCGATCTCAGACGGCTCGCCGAAAGACACGATATAAGCCAGAGTCAAACTAGAGGTAGTGTCGGCGACTTCCAGCCGATTGAAGTCTGCAAGCGATATTATGCGTCTTTACGACCGGTATGATGCTTGCAGTCACACATCTGACCAGTTGGACGAATTTCGAACCGTTCACAGTCAGCGTTCCAAAAATTTCTCCTTTAGGCTGAAAATGACACTCAAGAATAAGAATGGATAATTTTCCACTCTCACATTTTGGGTGGCTCGAATTTTCCACTCAGACACCCAAGAGAAATCTAAAGTTTGGGACAGTGTTCACCAGAAGTGAACGTGTACATAACTTAGTTTTTTTAAAGAAAATATCAGGGCTGCGCAGTGCGCTTGGGCTTTTGAGTCAATTATTTTCCATGCGACACCAATAGGCTTAATGATCATTTTCAGAGATGTTGGGGTTGCTGCTAAAATCCCCTTTTGGGGTTCCTGCTACAACCCACTTTATATATAAAGTTGCACTGCTGTTCACAATTCCTCCCGATCCACCCAACAACGCCCGATCCCGTCCGACCGCTTCCGAATCTCCGACTAGTCGGCGAGCGATCCACTCACGGCCGTAAGTTATCGTCCAAAGTTTTATAATCTGCGTCAATATTGTGTGCATAGGTACTTGTGCCACGGAATATATAGTCTACGACATGTCGATATGTCGATATGAACTACGATATGTCGTAGACTATATATTCCGTGCTTGTGCGATTTTATGTGCACCGCGGGAGTATCACCACTGAGAGGGTTGTGGGTCCCTACTCTCTCCTCTCTCTCTCTCTCTCTCTCTCTCTCTCTCTCTCTCTCTCTCTCTCTCTCTCTCTCTCTCTCTCTCTCTCTCTCTCTCTCTCTCTCTCTCCCTGAAGAGTCGTGAGGGGGGGGGGGGTCGAGCCCCGTTTTTTATACATTTTTTTAATGCCATCCTGACGTTTTTTGCAGAATAAAGTGGCCGAAATCTGGGGAGAAATCGAAAATTGGGGGGGGGGGGCTATGGCTACGAAGGTCAGTCCATGTCACTGCCCAAGTGGCCCACCAGTCAAAATTCCTTAGCCGAGGCCCTGAGCCCTAGCACGCCACACCACCATCACACATAAGAATCCCCCACCCGACTCACCGCGTCACCGGGCGCAGGTGGCCTCCGTCACGGGGTCGTCACGGCGGTGTCACGGTGCCGTCACACCGTCCGTCTGTCCCAGCCCACCTCAGCGCCACCCCACGCGCTCCGCCGCCCGCCGCGCCACTGCCAGCCCCGCCGCCCGACCGCCGCGCCGCGCCGGCCCGCGCGCGTGTCCCACCGCCACTACCGCCGTCGCGGCCTTGAGCTCGTACTACGCTGCTGGCTCGCCGCGGGGACGGGACGGGACGGCCGCCGACAAACAGGAAACCAGAGGGGCGGAGCGCCGGACTGGGGATGGGGAGGGGAGGGTATGGGATGGGGGAGGTATGCGGGTAGGCATGGATCAGCTGGTGGGGACGGGGGAGGGGACAATCCGACAGGTGGGGAGGGGAGGGGACGGAGTGACTGACGGGAGACGACCCAGCTTGTGTGATGGGAGGGGGAGGGGTAGACGAGAGAATGGTCATCTGACTGCACAGTGCGTGACTGGAATGTTTCATGTCAGTTGTCACCCCGAAGGCAACCGGAAGACGCGGGTAATCCAGTGATCCGAGAAAATCCAAACTGTTCCAGATATGGAGTAGGCCATACCATATACTGGTGAACGGGACTCACCGGCTGGGACGTCCATTTCTCCTGGATGAGCTCGATCGTGAACGCAGATTTACCCACTATCTGTCGAGTTGAACGATTGATTAGAAACAATAAAACGGACTGTCCATGTTCTGCTGAGGTTGGCATAGATGGTTCGAGTTATCTGCTTAATGAGAGTAGAGAACCTGGCGACCCTTTCTGCTGACCGGTCGCTGTCATAAACGCAAGTCCCGTCGAGAAAGGGTCGAGGGGTAGCGGTGCCGTGCCACGTGCGGGGGAAAGGGGGCGTCAGATCCCGATAGAAGCGGAAATTACCGGAAGAGAGGCGACAGACCGGCGCCACGCCGGGGTCGGGGAGGGCTGGTCTGAAGCCGATCACCAAAGTCGATCAAAGTCGATCAAGTGAACGTTATTTGTGGACCGTCTACTGGTGACCGTTTTCTTGTGATCGTATGCTATTGAGTAATGACCTTTTTACTTGTGGCCGTATATTTGTGACCAGTTAATAGTGACCCTTTAATTGTGACCGTTAACGGATGAACGTAACGTCTACTTCATGACCGTCTTTAGTCGCCGTCTACAGGGTGGGGCAGCATAATCGGGAATGCTTTTTGGGCTCTGATCATGAGTAGGCATGGCATTATTACATATATAAAAATCAAAATGTCCGTATGTATGTATGTATGTATGTAACGCGTCAGTCACGCTTGGCGGGCTATTGCTCCGGAACGGTGCGGGCTACGGGGGTGGAATTTTGGGCGCAGGTCGGACGCGTGCATCTGTTTGTTGTATTAAATTTTGGAAGAGGTGAGTTCGGCGGTGTGCACGTGGCGGGCGCATCTTTGCGGGATTTTGGCCGCGGCCGGCGCCGATCAGAGAGCACGCGCATTAGGCTCAGTTTCTTCGCTTGCCAAACTGAGCGAAATCAGAGCCGGCAGGTCACTGACCTTTGCCAATGAATACCGGAACAGGGCACCGCCGGCCAGGAGGAGACGCTAAATTTATTCTGGCAATAACTCGGCCGCTACTGGGCCGATTTCAATGAAACTTGATTTATATTACGCTGCGCGTAATGCTGGACACCTAGTCCCATATATAAAAATCAAAACGTCTGTACGTATGTATGTATGTATGTATGTATGTATGTAACGCGTCAGTCACGCTTGGCGGGCTATTGCTCCGGAACGGTGCGGGCTACGGGGGTGGAATTTTGGGCGCAAGTCGGACGCGTGCATCTGTTTGTCGTATTAAATTTTGGAGGGGGTGCGCTCGCCGGTTTGCACGTGGCGGGCGCATCTTTGCGGGATTTTGGGCCGCGGCCGGCGCCGAGCAGACGGCACGCGCCTTAGGCTCAGTTTCTTCGCTGCAAAACTGGGTGAAATCAGAGCCGGAAGGTCACTGACCTTTGGCAATGAATACCGGAACAGAGCACCGCCGGCCAGGAGGAGACGCCAAATTTATTCTGGCAATAACTCGGCCGTTACTGGGCCGATTTTAATGAAAATTGATTTATTACGCTGCGCGTAATGCTGTCCCTCTAGTTTTTATAAATTATATTATGGCAATGAAACGCCCAAAAGTTGTGCATCATCTGACATGACTACATCCATGAGCATGCAACTTCCTGGAAAAGAGCAGCAAAATAGTTCGACGGTGCTCCAAGTGCTTTGCGCGCGCCCATAGACACTAATGTTAAACAAGTAAAACAAGAACATTTTGTTTAAAACCCTGCAATTCCACGTAAAGGTTGCTGGGCAGGTCAACGTGTTATCACGGACGATAAGGATTGTGTGGGGATACTTAGGACAACAGGTTAACGTAATCGTCGTAAAATAACTCTTAGCAGAGGACATACAAGATGACTCACTTGAATATAAGGAAGAAGCACTTGAGCATATTAAAAAGAAACAATGTTCAAAACTTCAGCGACAAAAAATCTTATCACCGACTGGAATACGATAAAAAAGAATGGCATGCCATATAGGGGATTGTATCGAGAATATTCCAGCGGTCATGCAAAGTAAACATCCTGTTGGGGTGATGGACCTATGGGTGGTCTTCAAGGGAGGTGCACGTGGTGCACCCTACTTCATCGAGCCCGGATAAAATGAGCACCTCTGGTAAATACAACCGCACTCTGGCAGACTCACGTGGAGCCGTCGGAAGAGAGGATCACTGACGGTCCAAATCACGTCTTACGAGGACTCTGTCCGTGCTGGTACTGCAGTGAGGACGACATGTTATTGTGAAGGGCACCTCCACCTGAGATGAACCAAAAACTTCTGGTCCTTCAACTCCGCCGATTTAAATCCGACCAAATTCTTTACATGGAGCGTTTTTTGGTAGAAGTTTAATGAACAACTTATCATCAGTAAAAACAGTCTTCAGTGCAAGGTACGAAGCTGATGGGCGATCATGGACAAGCAGGAGGTTGCACGTGCATGCGCGTGCTTTTGGACCCGCCTTGAGAAGGTCATCGACGCCGAGGGCGGTCAAATAGGATGAGGGATAGGTAAAAGGGGACCGATTGATAGGATGTTGCTAAAATAGTGCTTGGAGCTATATTTTTAGATTCATGACCAAATAATCCCGTTTGATATTTATTCCCGATTATGCTGCCCCACCCTGTATAAGTGACCGTCTATTGTTGACCGTCTACCGGTGGCAGTCTCTAATTGGGGGCTGCTTAATTAGGAATGTCTACTGGTGAACGTGTCGTTTATTAGTGGCCGTTTACTAGTGAGTTAGTGACCATCTAAACTGAGTCTATTTACGGGTGAACATCTACTTCATGACCGTCTTTAGTCGCCGGCTATGAAGTGACCGTTTATTGTTGACCGTCTACCGATGGCAGTAGAGTTCTGCACGGCTGCAATTTTCCACAGCCTAGCCGCCCCGCAGCCATGGCTCCACAGCCACAGCCGCCCACAGCCGTGGCAAACTGTGGGCAGCCAGCCGTCAGCCGGCCGTGGATACTTTCAATGAAATGCAACCAAATAGTATATAGCAAGTTGTTTTTAGTTGAAACATATAGCCAAAAGCACATTGCAATGGGCTATAGATTCTCAAGCTCATGAAGCATCATAAGTTAAGTGGTTGTGTATCTGGCTTTAGGCCGAAGGCCTGAAGCCTGATGCGCATCGCATGCTTACCTACACAAGCCCTTGCAAGGGGTTAAGAAAGATGGGTAGGTAGGTACCTACATCAACAGAAAACATAAACAACGAACCAGAATAGAAGCAATAGCAGTGTAGACATCTAATGCCAAATCCTGAAGCATGGTTGTGGGACAGAACAACAGACCCTGATGCTTTTCATTATCAATGTTAGGTATGGAAAATGAAACTGAAGTTGATGGACTGTCAAACAGTGATTGTCTAGTCAAAACTCTTGCTTCTTTCTTACCTTGCATATTATTTGGGGTGTGATATGCCAGGCTTGAAGCAGCCTTCTGAGCAAGTCTCAAACTAATTTGATATGCAAGGCATCAAAACACTAGTGAGCATCCAAGAAAGAAAAACATTCATCTATTTTGATTTTTCCAAATAATGATATTCGCTCAAATCGTCAAGGACGTGCGAGCCACAATTGCCTCTTTCAATCAAAAATTTTACTTGAGTTTTTAATGACGTCAATAGCAAAGAAGTGGCAATAAATTATTTTGTGTCACTATAAACAGCCATAAAAATTATAAATAATAAATAATAATGCTATACAACTAAAAACTTGCTCTCAAACAAAGATTAATGGTCAAATTTTAGCATTTTTAGAAGAAGACGTCATTTTATTAGTAAAGTCAACAGCTCGCGTAAGAAATATTGTGTTCAGGGTTTTCACCATCATGTGGATTACGTGTTCAGGGTTTTCACCATCATGTGAATTAACCGTGAGTAGGGTTCGTGCTCACTTATAATCTAATTCCATTGGCTTCTTTGATCAGCATTTTCTGTTAGCGGTCACTCACACACCAGTTAGAACATAAAGCGCCAGTTTTATATTATGTAATTGGACTTGCCGAAAATCCAGAAATACGTCTAAGAGTTATTTTAGATAATATTTTATGAAGCCTTTATCTGCCTTTACCTAGGCGTGATTTCTTTTTCTATTACCTGAAAGAATTATTGAACGCTCGTCTTCAATAGCTGTAAGGTGCTCTCCTAATGACCAGGTGAGATTGATTTGAGAGGGATGTGACAATGCAACATGTTGCATTTTCTGAAACTGCCAAGCTCTTGATGATGAAGGAACAATTGGTACATATAATTAGTATTCTGTACCAGAGTGCAAACTCCCCTACAGCAAATGGTAAAACCATTACAGGTATTCAAAGGCTTCACCACTTTCAATGTTGCTGGGCATCCTTTGCATGATTTTTACAGGCTAGACTGCTTATCAGAATGTAAGATTAAGGATTTAAAATTTTATATTTTGATTTGAGTACTTAAGATTGAGCTTGAAATCTCACAGCCGTGGCCACAGCCGTAGCCGTGTTCTTTGAGATATTTGCAGCCGCCCCGGCCCACAGCCGTGGGGCTGCAGCCAGCCGTGGCTGCAGCCGGCCGGTGCAGACCTCTAGATGGCAGTCAATAATTGGGGCTGCTTGATGATGAATGTCTACTGGTAAACGTGTACTGGTGACCGTTTATTAGTGGCCGTCTACTAGTGACCGTCTAAACTGAGGCCACCGTTCCGTGCTTCTATCCTCAGGATACTGAAGTCCTTCTCCTCCACGCCGCAACCCCCTTCCGGGCTGGACAGGCAACTTTATCTCATGCGGGCTGCTCCCTTGGAGCGGCACCGCTGCTCCCGAGGGAGCGCACCCCGTAGCCGGGTGCAGTGAGTGCCTTGGGGCTGGGTGGCCTGTCCTCTGGACGGGCTCAGCCCCGGCGACTCACTAGGGTGCCTGCCCAGACCAATGTCTCCCCCTATATCCCATCATCCTCCCGGCTCTGAAATGGTCCCATTGGACCGAAAGGGCCTAACCCAACAAAACAAAACAAAACAAACAAATAAACTGAGGCTATACATATTTGTCTTGTTGTTGACCGTATACTAACAACCGTCCACTGATGATCTCCCCGTAAGTCGTAACCGTCTACTGGCGACCGTCTACAATGTGACAGTGCCGTCTAGTGACCGTCTGGTGACTGGTTACTGATGATACTCCTCTTGCCCGCGTCCATTGATTACCGTGCATTAATGACCATGGTGTGCTGGTGACCGTGTATTTGTACCGTCCACCACGTGTGACAAATTTCAGGCTAGTGACCGTCTAGTGATCGGTGATATAAACCGTCTACTACACATATTGGCCGTATATGTATTGGCGAATGGTGATCGAATATTCCATTGTTTTGTCTGTTAATGACTCGTAAACTTGTCTGTTATTGACTTGTTACGCTTAAACATGCGGACCACTCACTCTTGCCTCTGAATAAATTTCATTGACATTCTGGTGTAATCTGCCAGTTGGTATAAGCGGGGTTTTACCATCATGTGCCGCTCCGGCGGCGTGACGGTGAAATGTTGCTCTGCCGCGTTGCATTTCTCCCTTTCGTTCCTACCGAAGCCTGATAGTGCCGTAACGCTCTGGCATGCCCCAGCTACACACATCGGTTCCATCTCAGCGGCCCTAACTCAGAGTCGGCAGACACGGAGAAACTCCAGTCAGTCGGAGACAGTCAGAGTTGCACAACGGTGGGGCCGCCTTCATTCAGACACGGTTCGAGAGCGGGGGGAAATCGCTTACCGCCGACCGCCAGGGCGCACGGCGGCGACACGCGGCACACGTCGGTCTAATGTTTATGCAGCGTGCACTGTCGCCATCATCAGCTGATATCAACTAGCGTCCTGACGTCAATGTCGGATGATTTAAACTACTCCGTTCTGAGCCTGACGTCAGACGATGTCAACACGTCCTGTCGGTGACGTTAGATGAAGCAGCTCTCTGGTCTGTGGTATGCTCCATTGGAATTCGAAGCACGGAGGACGGAGCAGGCGGCACGGAGCGAAGGAGTGGATGAGAGCTCGTGTGCTTTTGTTGACTTGGCGAGCTCTCAGCTCGGTTGACCGGACGAACTCTAGCCCTTGCTCTAGCCCTCGGAAATACGGATACCTATACCTGCTCAGTGCTCACCAATCTACGTAGCAACGTTGTAGTTGGATATAAGCCGTTTGACATGACATGATTTTGATGTGACTATGCGTTGAAGCCATTCATTTATGTTTCTAGCATATGGAACGCTCGGTATCTGCTGAAATCCTTACCCGCCTCCCCGTCTAGTTCAGTACCTACCTGGAGCTGAGTGATGCTGTCGCGTCGCTGTGCGGACCCTCTGACGTCCTCGGCCTCTGACCACCGCAGTCCTCCAAGCTTCAGCTAGTCCTCCTGTTCCAGTATCCACCACAGTCCTTTCCACACCTTTCCTTCCGTCGGCTACCGTCCCGCTTCCCTCCCGAGTCGCCGGGCGTCGCACCGACGCGGTCACTGGCTGCCCGTCGCCCGTCTCGGTACGCCCTGGTACCGCCCACTCTCCCTCCCCCCGAGAGTGTCGCGTCGCCCCGCGCCACTCACCGCCGCCAGGCGTCACAATGACGTCACATAACACCCAGTGATGACGTCATTACGTCGGCCGGTCACAGAAGTCGGCCGATGAACCGTGGTTGGTAAAAACTGAATCACAGTCGGGCAACGACGCCCGGAAGGACTGATAATATTCTGACATACCAGAGGACAGGATGTGCAGTGGACACTTCGGACTAGCACTTCCGTCGCTCAGTCCTGGAAAGTCCAAGTGCCTTTCCATTTCACGTGTTCAAAGAATCGATGAAGTTGGGCTACCGATGGATGAACAAATGGGTCTAATCCGCATTTATTTTTGTGCTCAGCCTAATTGTGGGTGCGGCCTCGTGTCTGTTTACGATAAGATATCCAGCGACGTTTCAGTAGATTCACCAACATAAAATTTCGACAAGGAAGTTATTAGCCAGTTCCGTTCTTCCTGAGGGCTAGAACAAGTAGGTGAAGGTAGGTCCAGTTGCTTGAACCAGTTTTTATCAATCCACCGACGGCAAATGTCCGTGAGCGGCATCTGATGGCTCGGCACGGTCTCACTCCAAAGCTATCCCGAGAACATTTGGACATTTGTTCTGGTAACCTACAGTCGCTATTCGCACATTCCGCGTTTCCCATCACTGAGAAAATGTTTGAATAGCGTATAGCAGCGAGCGGGCTCAGAACGTGTGACAATCAACATTGTATAACGAATATATTCACCAGTCAGAAGAGCACCATTCATCCCGGCCGGAGGGACCAATCACAACAGCCGGCAGCACGCAGAAACGGTCACAGCAGACAGGGCCGGGTTAAGACGGAACCCCTGACCTGACCTACAGGGGCTGGGTCACAACTGAGCTGACTCCTGATCTAACCCCCAGGGCGGGTCACAGCAGCCCATCGGACTGAGCTGTCTACCGCGCCACTCCGCGGCGGAGAGGTCATCCCACAGCAGCAGAGGCGAGTCTACCCGCCTCGGGCACTTGGAACCAGGCAAAGTACACCACAACCGACCGACCACAGCAATACATTCCAAAGGATATTATAACCCCACTAACAAAATAGCAAACATTCTGCGCTACACACACGGCAAACACATCCCCGTACGAAACTAAGGCTGGCACAGACTTTGAACTTATGATCCCTTCACACTACCAGCTGCATCCATTGAGCGGATGGTTTTAAACGCTGGTAAAACTCAAAACAGCTGCGGTCCGTATTAAAATACTGTTTTTGCCCGCGAGATGCACAGCACTTCGAAATCGAACGCGTATCGGGCAGTATGAGATTTCAAGAGTTCAAACACGATGAGCATTTAACGTTTCCTGGGACTTGGAATATATCGTTCGCCCCTGCAAATATTGAGAAATGTGCGACAGACATGTTCTGACAAAATCAATTAATAATCACCCATTGATAATCACAGCCCTACCCAATACCGACTTATAGAGGTGGGAAGGGCTACCCGCTTACCAACAACCTCGTTAAAACTAAATACGCTAAATTACGGGTAACAAATGTAAATACTAGGTCGGAAATACGACCATGTTAAAATAACTAACCGCATCAAGCACAGTCAACCGTTACTTTTATCTACTCTCAATTCCAACTCACATTGTCCGCAAATCCCGGTCGACAGCTGCTAAAACCACACTCATGCTGAAACCAAAGTCGGTATCACTTCACTGAGTGTCATTTGCAGCACACATGAACACTCTCAGAGAGCTCCAGGAGCCATCCTCGGTCCAGCACTGCCAACCGAGCGTCCCACACGGAGTCGGGCAGCTGTCTGGACTCGATCGTCATTAAAAGTCCATTGCTGGCCGCACATCGGCGACCGTCCATCCTAGTTTGATTCTCGGCGACTTGAGACGGACGTTACCAGTCTTGTAATTCCGTCGTGCGCTGACCGGTATACACGGGAGGATAATGTCACTTGCGTCCCGTGTTCCGTCAAAGATTCAGTCCGACAATGGTCAGTATGACAAAACCACAGTCTGATGGTCCGACGTTTGCTTGTGCTCCGACCCAAAAGTCACAGGAGTTCACAGGCACCGGCCAGCACTCACTCAGAGAAGACGGCTGTCCCGAACCAATGTCATCACTGTCCTGGGACACCGTCTGTCGCCCCGGCACTGACACCAGCATCAAGACCGCCAGCGTCCTGCACCAGCACCAGCACAGCACCAGCACCAGCGTCCAGTGACCAGCGTCAGCGTCCAGCAGCCACAGCGTCCAGCACCAGCGTCCAGCGTCAGCACCAGCGGGTGTTAGCAGGAGCACGGCTCGTCGGGTGTATGCGGCGCCTCCACGCGGAAGGAGCGGTCGTCGAGCCGCTCCAGCTCCTTCCTGGAGCGACTGGAGACAGCCACCTGGCGCGAGATCTCGGCAAACATCTCCTGCACGCCCTCGCCCGTCTTACAGGACGTCTTGAACGTGCCCGTCACTACGTTGTGGCATTGTTCGCTGAAATAGGAGAAAAGGGGAGGATGTTACTCGATGGTGAAGGAAATGCAGGAGTAGAGCCACGTTCAGCCACCGTGCCGAAAGACACTGACATAAAATATACTGAATATACTACTGACAAATGATCGTTCACAAAATCCAAACATATCGTTTCAAAAGATATCTCCTGACTACTGTTCTTCGAAAAAAGATATTCGCTGTCTACCATTCCACCAATTCAAGCTCAGACAAGACATCCCAACCGAAATAGCGTCTTTCCTGACATCCTTAAGCAGCCAGTCTGCCATTCCCAAAACACCACGAGCCTGTCCATCCCTCCCACAACGCCGCGACCTTCAGTTCATCCCTCCTACAACATCACGATTCGATCTAACCATTCTCCCTGCATACAGCGCCAAGGCGTCTACGGGTATCACTCACCAGAACATCTGAATGTCGGCGTCTGTAACGACCACGTCGTGTTTCAGGTCGGTTTTATTCCCGCACACGTAGATTTTGGCGTGCTCAGCGTGGGTCACAATCTCCAGGAGGTGCTGCGACAGGATGTTGAACGAGTCGATGTTATCCAGCGCGAAGACTAGGATGGCGGCCTCGGCGAACTTGAAGTAGCTGGATGTGACGGAGGCCACGCGTTCCAGGCCGCCAGTATCCCAGAGTTGGAGCTGCGCAGACAGACAGCGGAGGGTTAGAGGAGAAATAGGGGCAGAGGGGACGGGTGGGAGTGAGACCAGACTGCACGTGGCAATAATGGGTAGCGAGATACACAAGATCAACTGCAATGGCACAGGTGGGGAAGGATATATTATATGTACAGCTTTAGAACTGGACTAGCGACGATGAACAGTAGACCAATAGTGAAAATATTGCAAGCAGTCATACATCGGACACAAAGCATATAAGGAAAGTGTTATTTATGCTTTACTGGATTTTTATTAGAAAAAATGTATGATACAAATTAGCTTCAGACACCCAGAGGCCAGAAGCATCAGGATCAAGAAGTATGGCGTTTCATCCAGCCACAGCTCTGGATTCTATCGCAAGCTGCTAACGACGGTCACATTAACACCAGCGGTTCGTTAATTTTCCTCATCATATTCCGTACACATCAGTTGGAGTCGGAACAGAGCAGTTGAAATCGGTTGGCGGGCTCATTTCGAAATTACGCAGTCTGTCATATCATTTCGCAGTCATTTGACACCGCACCCAAACAGAGTGGCTCACTGCACGAGCGGGCGGAATTACGCCAGTGAAAAAGCAGGCCAGCCCTCGTACGATAGGACATTATGTTCGCTGACTGTGCAGCCGCAAACCGCTTATATCCGGTTTATGAGCCGGAGCGGTATGCTCACTGTGCACGTTGTGCAGGGGTGATCACCAGTCGCTACACCGAGCCAGCCAAGTACTGCCTGGTGCACTCCCAGGCAGTGCTTGCAAACTATAGCAACTTTGGGTCTGCAGGACAAAAACAAACTCGCAATATACAAAGATGAAATTAGCTGGAATCTGTATTCCAGTCAGTGTTTATTTGGGCATGAAATGACTGCAAAATACGAGACTCAAACTGTCTGCAGGCTGACGATATCTCGTCAGAAACTATGCTCATTCTGGGCAAAGCACGCGAGGACAAGCTATCACACGGACGTCAGCTATTATGGACACCGAGCGCCTGCACAGTCGCGCTGTTCAGCCACCTGAGTTACATTATGTAACAGTTGGGGTGATCTCTCCACCCGATCAGTCTGACGGCGGTGCATGCGGGAGGCACGCGCCGACAAGTCACGATCCATATAGCCGCAGGGCTGCCCGAGCATGGTCCGGGCTACTGTGGATGACATCCGACATTTACGTAACGTCGGCTCCAGAAATGATAAACAGGATTGAAGGACGTCTGATCCGCAGGACGAGCATGAACCAATTACGTAACAAGAACGGGTTATATGCGTCCTCCCACCTCACTAGGTAGATTCCGCATAGGTACTGTTTTTAGCACTATTTCCTTCCCGAAATCTAACGGGAAAATACTTTGATGTCTACAATCCACGCATGCCAGTTTTACCTACCTTGATTTGCCGCTGATCCGGGCCGACCGTGTACGTCTTCTCGAACTGGTCCAGGCCCAGGGTGGACCTCCGATCTGAGGCCGAGACGAACGTGTCCATGGCGAAGCGGCGGAACAGGGACGACTTGCCGACGCCGTACTCGCCGCAGAGGATCACCTTCTGGCAGGGCACCTTTACCGTGGCCATGGTGGAGGGGCCGGACCCGCGCGGAGATCGGACAGCGTTCGGCAGTACCGGCGGACCGCTGTGGGCTCTAGCAGCTGGTGCTGCACAGATAGACCAAGGTGGACTGCCTCACTTCTCAATGGCTTGCTGGATACTTTTTCACTTACTGACTGTCCGAATATTTGCTTCTTTCTTCACCAGACACACACAATTTTTAACCAACCATCTAGATGTGCAGATTCACTGTTCCTTGACTGGTCAGTGGTCAGAAAGCAGAATATCCTCTGTCACTTCAGCTGTCACTGTAAGTTAGGGAGAAATGTCGGTAACAGCAGCAAACAATCAATGAGAAAAATGATGGTGGTAAGAAGGCATTTGTAAACTAGTTTAAGGCACGACTGGACAAGCACTGGAAGAACAAGATAGGTATATGATGTCCCCTTCCCCTAAGAGTCCAGTTAGTACATCCTCACAAGCCCGATGAGAGCGGGATCATCAGGACAAGTGGCCTTCTGTAACCTGAACACCTTGAAGGTAAGGTAGGGTAGGTAAGGTAAGAAGCAGGTATGAGCAAAGGGGAAAAACACAGTTAAACAAATAAAAAGGTGCATGCATTCACAGGAAGCTATTTTTGGAGAGTGAGTGGGTAGGCGCCTAGTGCTACAATGTTTGGCATAAATGAAATTTAAATTAAAAGTTTTGAAAAGTAGGTAAATGACATAAATACAAGTGAGCAAAATACTGATTTGTGCTATTTGTTCATTCAAGGAAGAAGATAAAAAGAATCAAGCATTTAACCATGGATGACTAAGTAGAAGTTAACTGAAACAAGGAAGAAATATGACTCAGATAGTTTCCACAACATAGTGGAAGCTCTCCTGGGTGACAATGTGCAGATGGAGATCGAAAAGGTTTACAGGCTGGGAAAGAAGAAGATCTCGGAGGATGGAGCTGCAGAACCAAGACCGAGGCTAATGCTTGTGGGCCTGAAGAAGAAGGAAGAGGTTGAAGCCCTTATGAGGAAAAGATGGGATCTGTCTAAAGTTGGCTTCAGCAACATTTATCTCTCACGAGACCAGACCCCAGAAGAAAGGGAAATACAGAGAAAACTAAGGGAAGAACTGGCAGAGAAAGGAAGAGAAACTCATCGAATCTTTCGGGGAAAGGTTGTCCCTCGGGACAGGTATTAACTCAAGTAGGAAAACAGGTCACCTATCATGCATGTATACAAATGCAAACAGTTTAAGGAATAAGCTGGGTGAGCTGAGGGTGAAAATTGACAGTGCAAAGCCTGACATTGTTGGCATAACAGAAATCTGGCAAAAAGAAGATATAGCCTTTCCAGGTTACCATGAAGCGTTCCGCAAAAACAGAAAAGGATTACAGAAAGGAGGAGGTGTGATGATCTTGGTTAAGGAGAGTTGGGAAGTCCAAGAGTGTAAGGAACTTAGTGAAACAAAGCATGGAGATGTTGAAGCTGTCTGGTGCACCATCAGATTGGGCAAGCATGATAACCTACTTGTCGGGCTAATTTACAGGTCCCCGAGTAATACCCATGAAGATAATGAAAAACTTTTGGAGACGTTGAAGGCTGTTCCTCAAGTACATGCCAGGAAAGTAATGATTCTGGGAGACTTTAACTTCGCTCACATAGATTGGGAAAATGGGACGGTGGAAGGCCCAGATGACTCTGACCAATCCCAGTTCATGAGAACCATGAATGACTTGTACTTATGTCAACATGTCAGTGGCCCTACACGCTTCAGAATGGGTCAGGTTCCATCCAGACTAGATTTAGTTTTCACAAATGACTCAAATGCAATTGATGTAGTTAACACAGAAGATCCACTTGGAAAAAGTGACCACGCAGTTCTGACTTGGAACTACCAATTTTCTGATGCAGACAAGACATTTGAAACTTGTACCAAACGGAACTTTGCCAAAGCTAACTTTGAGAAAATTAAGGAGTCACTAAGAGAAGTAGACTGGGGATTTCTGGAATCTGCTGGGGTAGAAGTCATGTGGAGCGGTATTAAAAATGCACTAGAGACAAGCCTGAAGGCAAATGTACCATTGCACAAAAAGAGAACCAACAGAAAGACAGCACCATGGTGGAGCAAGCAGATAATCAAGTCAATCAAACTCAAGCACAAAACATTCAAGAAATATTGTGAAACAAGATCAGAGGAGGACTATAAGAGGTATGCCACACAGAGGAATAAGACAACGACCTTGATAAGAGAGACAAGGTATAAATATGAAAGATCATTGCTAAGCAGCATCAAAGAAGACCCCAAGAAACTGCACAAGTATATTCGCATGCAGCATACAACAAGACCTGTAATACAAGCACTAAAAAGTGAAAGGGGACTTACTGAAACCGAGAAGGAAACAGCAGATGTTCTTCAAAAATACTTTACATCAGTGTTTGTAACAGAACCTGGAGATGCAATTCCACTATGTCATGCCAGGGTGGATGCAGATAATACCATAGAAAATATTGAAGTGACTGAGATAATGGTAAAGAAAGAGCTTGAAAGACAAAACACGAACAAATCAGCCGGACCGGATGGTATCCCAAGCATTATACTTAAGAAATGTGCAGATGAGCTGGCACTACCTCTTGCCAGGCTATTCAACAAGACCCTAGAAGAAGGACGCCTCCCACAAGAATGGAAAAGAGCAAGAGTAGTGCCAATATATAAGAAGGGATCAAAAAGTGAGCCGGGAAACTACAGACCCGTAAGTCTCACCTCACAGGTGTGTAAGGTTATGGAGAAAATTGTTAAACAGGTGTTAATGCGTCACTTCGAAGAAAAAGATCTATTGTCAAATCATCAGCATGGTTTCAGGAAAGGCAAGTCATGTCAGTCAAATTTGCTGGAGGTGCTTGAAGAATGGACAAGAGGAATAGATGAAGGACTCGGGCTGGATATACTCTACTTGGATTTCCAGAAAGCATTCGATAGCGTCCCACACAGAAGACTCGCAGCCAAGTTGTACAGTTATGGAGTTCAGGGAAGTATACTCAACTGGATCAGTGACTTCCTACATGGACGAGAACAACAAGTAGTAGTGGGAAAAGGGGCTTCTGACTGGGGTCAAGTGACCAGCGGAGTCCCCCAGGGCTCAGTACTGGGCCCAATCCTGTTTCTCGTCTATGTAAATGAAATACCGAGCCTGTTGAAGAGTAAAGTAAAGATGTTTGCTGATGACATAAAGATTTACAGTACTTTACAAGACAGTCATGATCCTCTCAGGCTGCAAGAAGACCTGAATGTACTGAGTGATTGGTCAAAGGATTGGCTCTTGAAACTCAATCCTGGAAAATGCAAGATAATGCACTGTGGAACGGACAATTTAAGGACAGACTACTTTATGAAGGACGCCAATGACACCGTCGTAAAGCTCCAAGAGACCGAAATAGAGAAGGACCTTGGAGTCTTTGTCTCAAATGACTTAAAGCCAAGTAGACACTGTCAATGGGCAGCCAACAGAGGAATGACAGCCCTCCGTCTCCTGAGGAATGCGTTTGACAGGATCGATGTGAAAAATTTCAAGTCACTGTTTACCACTTATGTTCGTCCCCATCTCGAATACTGCATCCAGGCAGTGGGTCCACACACTGTCCAGGATATGAAGACTCTGGAACGGGTGCAAAGACGGGCAACCAAACTGGTAAAGGCAATTAGAAATATGTCGTATGAGGATCGCCTCCGTACATTAAAACTACCCAGTATCGAGGACAGGATACGTAGAGGTGACATGATTGAGACCTACAAGCTCCTGACTGGAAAAGTAGAAGTGAATCATGAGCAGTTCTTTGAGGTGACACATCAGGGCAGAACAAGAGGACATGAACTTAAGCTTGTAAAGAAAAGGGCAAAACATGTTTCAAGACTTAAGTTCTTCTCAAACCGAGTAGTAAACTTGTGGAACCAGCTACCCAAGGAAGTGGTTGAATCTTCAACAACCAACAGTTTCAAAAATAACTTTGATAAGCTGCGCTGGGCCACAGTTTCCTCAACCTGATCCGAAAGTCTTGTCATGATGTGAGCACCAAACAGACCTGGTCTGACACCAGCTCACGAGACTAAACCTAAACCTAAACCTAAAGTGTCCATTGGATGATAAGAAACTATTTTTAGTTTTCACTGTAAATTAGACAGCCAAAAATGGCTGCTGACTGGGAACAAAAGCATGTTTTCAAGCCCTAGGACCTTAGCTTAGATCCCGCACAAAAATGAGCCACTATTCAGCCCAAGCTATCGAAGAAAAATCCCCATAAAACATTCAGATGCCTCACCTACAGTAGATCATGGCATGAGCCATACTGATACGCACAGCTACCCTGACCCTTGAGGGCAATATTTTTTATTACTATTCTAACTAGTCCAACTAGTCCACAGCAGAGCCTCAGTCCGCCCCAAGGTCCTTTCATTTTCTGATTTTGGTTCTCAACTTCAGGCTATAAGACGTCATAAAAGCTATCATTCTGATTATATTTTCTGGTCTTAAGCTGTTGATCTTTACATATCTACTAAGTTAAAGTTGGTAATGATATTAGAAATAATGTTTTGAAAGTTTTAAGGCGGAAAATGCAACAATTACCCCTAAAACAACCATAATTTTAATGTATTCTTGACGTCATCAAAAAAGGAAGGAAAGGAGTTGTTTTCTTAGGAAGAAGAATGATTGTCTTCGCTGCGCATAAAACGCTTTGTTTACTTTTGAGAGGGATGGGTGCTGGGAAACGGAAGTAAGCTCTTTGTTGAAAAATGGAGTTTCGCTGGGGAATGAACCTTTGAAAGTGATATATTTAATGGAAAAGTTGCTGAGCTGTTTGGTGTCGAGATTTTACGTTAATCAAATCCTGAACAATAGAATCTCGGGAAGAACCTGCCCCAGGTGAGAGAATGGAATCAGAACAGAATGGGCTAGGACCTGTGCTTGCGGTTGATAGGTTAATTCAAGGGCCAAGGCGGATAATTAATGTGTAAAAAGTCTTGCTCTATCTAGCTGCTCTTTCGATCGTGATTCCGTGAAGTTTGATACTGGTGGTGGTCATGCATCGGCATTTCATCCATTTATCGAAACAAATGTTGTCATGGCTGCTTGGATAGGTATTGACATGCTCCCATTTTTATAGTATTGCTGTGGCAGACAGCATACAACGTTTTTTCTTTCCTACTTTTTCAGAATGCTCTTCTGACTGATTCATAATCTCTTTCTTGCTGTTACTATTGACTTCTGTATTCATCTGTTTCCAGGATCTGAAAGTCAATTCCTTTGTGTTCCCATTTTACAGAGGCTTTTGTTCGTGTGTTTTTTTCCAGGTGATTTGACAAGATGGGTGTGAAGCTATTCAAGTGGTCAGCAGTGATCATAACATGTGCTGCTCAGAAGGAGGCTACTGCTCTAACACAAGGTAATTCCTGATAATGTCTATTACAAGTTTAAGTACACTTGCAGAAGTAAGTTGTCTTTTTTGACATTTTGAAGACAGGTTAAAATAAGACATCTTATAGAAGCTTACTGATAGTGCTTCCTTTAGGTTACATTATTGCCAGGGTTTTCTATGACCAAATGGATTGAAGTTTCCATAAATGATGTGGCATTTTTATGTGTTGTCTCTTGGAGCAATTATGATGTTCAGTGAACATCACTAACACAGTTATCTTCAGAGTTCAGTAATGAGCCTCAGCAAACTTGTATTTATTTTTCTTCATGCAGCTCTGAAAGATGGTAAGTGTTAGAAATCATGCACATATTTATTCCTTTTTAAGCTACATTTGACATTTACTGCTCAAGGAATTGACAAGCAATGATTGTATATGCTGCCTCTATTTTCTTTGCTTTCCTTTTTCCTATTGTATGACCATGAAATACCTCTGATGATTTAGCTTCAATCAGTCATATTTGATACAGACATCATAAATGCCTTCCAGACAAGAGTTCTGTAGCTAGAAAATTACTTTGGCATGCTTGCATGATCTTATTTACCTTCATATTCTTTCCAGGCTTCAGTAGTTTTACTATTAGGCACTAAAAAGGCTGAAAAGACATATAATGAATGCACCAGTGAGAATTGATTGGATCCACTCACCAGCACTCAGAGCTGACTCCCATGTAACAATACAAATGTGTTGAACTCTGTACATTATAAATGGGTGAATCTAGTTTTCAATGCGTCTGTGATGTGGACTTTGAAGTTCGATGTAGAGAGTTTGGATGTGGCTTTGTGCATTCCTACTATCATATTATGCAGAGCCACGATTTTAGCTGCTGAATGACTTTGCTACAGTCTGAAGGGTGTGTTGGATGAGGAAGACACAAGAGTCCTCATTGACATTGAGCAATACTAGAAGCTGGCTTATCAATGAGGATGACAGGTAGCCTGCTGACCTGGTAAAATGACCTGCTTATCCCATTGACCAAAATCGCAACCAGAAACCCTCTTTAATTGAAATTTATTTTCAGCAAATGGTGCCATACCCAGTGAACTAGATAAGTCAAAATACCCACCTACCCACCTCTCATCCATTCTCCAGCCACTGACTGCAGCCACTCTAGTAGCACATGCTCCAGCCACTGACCGTGCCTCCCTCCCTGTTACCTCTCTGCTCACAGAGCTAGTGATGCTGCAGCAGAAGGGTCACCTGTACGCCGACACGCTGTGTCTGGCAGTGCCCGACCCGTCGCCGGAGCTGGGCAGCGGAGGGGTGACGCTCAACGCGCTGCTGGTGGCCGCTGAGCACCTCAGCGCTGCCGCCGGACACACCGCGGTCAGTACACGGGATACGGGGCTGAAGTCGGGATACTGCCGATACAGGGCTGGGACCGGATACAGCCGCATGTATTCGGTCTTGTGGGACGCAACATAGTTAACACGCGCACTGCAGCGGGTCTGAGCCGAACACGAACTGCAGGGGGGGGGGGGGGGTGAAAACAACCCCCCTGAGATCTCGAAAACGGCGCAACGTAGCGACAAGCGGTAAACGGCGTTGAATAGGTTGAGATGAGATCTACAAGAAATACAAGATCATTTTTGGGTCAGGTCAAAAACGAGGTCAGCAGAGGTCACCAAACTCAAAATGTTGCGATTTTTTAGCGATCCCGACATCCCTCCATATTTCCCGCTTTATCTCGGGAACTAGATGAGCTAGAAAGTTGCGAAAAAAGCATTCGATAGCTGTTGAAACGCTCTTTCGCTAAGCTGTCCTCAGATTTGACCTAAAGTCAACGGTTCAGCCTATAGAGGTCATGTAATGTCAGATCAATATTGCAAATTTTCCGGAAATGCTTTTTCTGCAATAACTTTTCTCCAAAGAGATAGAGAAATAATTCACACACCACCGTTCTTAGCTCGTCAAGGCGCATCGAATGGTATATAATATGACCTCGAAAGGTCAAGTTCAAAAGTTGACCTCAGGTCAAGGTCATGACCTGACCGAAATAGGTCATGTTGCATATCATTCGATCCGCATTGACGAGACAAACACGATAAACGTCGAACGGAGTCTCTATCTCTATTCAATCAAAAGTTATTGAAGAAAAACCGTTGGTGACCATTGAATTGCATGCCGGGCCCCAAAAAGTGACCTGACCTAAGGTCACAGAAATAAAAATTTCGAAATATACAAAATGTTCCTTATGGTCTCCTAATATGTTTCTGAAAGTTTCATAGCATTCAGTCAAATGGTGTGGGTGTAGCACAGCGTCAAACTTTTTATGAGGTGAGGTCACTTATCGTGACCTGGTGACCTGACCTTGCATGACCTAACACTAATTTTTTCAGAGGTGATGTAAAATTGTTTGATGAACAGCTATACAAAGTTTCAAAGTCGTAGCTTCACTGGTTTTTTAGTTACAGCGAAAAAACCAGGGGGGGGGGTTGAAAACACCCCCCCCTGCAGTGCGCGTGTTAAGTATTTTACATCGTCTTTCTTGTCTGGTGTCTAAGTTATGAGACCGATCCCAAGTCAAATAGCATACTATGCGGTACTAGACACGTGTCCGAACAACGTGCTGTGTTGAACCGCGTCGTCTAATCGAAGTCACGACTTTCCATGTCAACAGCCTCATCCCCGACGTCCCATTTCGTCCACAGCTGAACCCTGACCTGCTGCGCGGCGGCAGTCTGCTGATGCTACACATGGGCCGACGGTATGTATACGAGCCCGGCGGTAAGGGATTCGTCACTCTGGGCTGCCAGCAGGACGTCAAGGGCGGCGGCGTCATCAACAACAACCTGCTGCACATCATACACATCTGCTCAGAGGTGCGCGGCCTGGGAACCGCTTTGTTTCGGTCTGATGAAAGTGATGATATCCAAGCAGAGCTTGCAAACAAATTCATCTCAAAGCAGTCTGCTTTGCACCGCAGCATTAGATTTCTTTTGGTTATTTACCTGCATTCAGTTTCAGTATACAATTTATTGCTGCGAAGTGCGAATCCAAATGAACAATGTCGTGCATACGCTTGCGGCTCTAAAGAGTTCAGCTTGATTTTCAGATATGTGCTCGGCGTATCTTGTACATGTGACGTCATGACGTGTATTATCCATCGGTTCATTAGTTTGCTCATTGCTGTTGCGGACTAGTGTTCAGCTCCTTGAGTTTCCTCCCACCTTTCTCGTTCAAACCCCGGCTGTACACTCTGTTCCCCCCGCCCGCAGCTGGCGTCCCGCTCCCCGGCCGGTGTGTGGGTGGCCAACACGGACAACTACCTACACGGTCGTCTGTCGGAGCTCAGCGCGGTCCGGGTGCCCGCCGACTGTCACGCGGCTCTGGTCTCCGTGGCCGCCTCTCCCGAGTACGCCCAGAGCCATGGCGTGATGGATGTGGCCGAGGATGGTACTGTGAGACAGCTGCTCTACCAGGCCGACGTCAAGACGCTCAGTGAGTTCTGGGTACTGAGTACTAAATCGACAGTAGGCTATAGTTACATAAAGGGTGTTGAGGTTAGGGTATGTACAAAAGCTAGGGCGAGAAAGAGGTGTGGTACTATAGTTATAGTAAAATGAAGCTATGCAAACTTGAATATCGTATGTAGTGTTTTGGTAAACTGGTGTCATTCTGTAAATGATCTGACCTACCCCTCTGCAGCCAGTGGCCCTACTCTCGACTACCTATCCTGACGTGACCTGACCTGACCTACCCTGACCTCTCTCTCCCCACAGGCAATGTCCTCCCAGCCGGAGCTCTACCTAGTGGCGGGTCTGGTGTACCTGACCTGACCTGACCTGACGTAACCTGTCTCCCTCCCCAGAGGCCATGTCCTCGCAGCCGGAGCTCCACCTAGTGGCCGGTCTGATGTACCTGTCCTGACCTGACCCGCCCCCCCCCCTCCCCCAGAGGCGATGTCCTCCCAGCCGGAGCTGCACCTGGTGGCCGGTCTGGTGTACCTGTCTCCGCCGGTGGCAGTCAGTCTGCTCAGTCTGCACGTGGTGGCTCCTCTGGACGGCTGCACCTACATGGGCGTGGACAGCGGCGTCTCATCGCTGCAGGTCCGTCATCGCCAGTGGTCTGATTTCGCCTAGTTCATTGTCGTCAAGTGACGCTTTTCCTTTTTGCCGTAGAATGTCGCCTTTATTCAGACGTTTTGTTGCCGTCAGATACCTGCAATTTGATCATTTGTATTAAGATATTTGACCGCTTGTCGTCATATATCGCCGAACGCTTTTTTTTGCCATTTGACCGCTTGTCGTCATATATCGCCGAACGCTCTTTTTTTTGCCAAATATCGTTGTAATCTAACGGGTCGCTTCCTATGTCGCTATAATTTTACTTTCTTTCCCCACCAGTTACTGTAATTTGGCTCTCCGTGATCTCCAGATGTCGCTGTACTTTGACATGCTGGTGGCGATGGCGGCCAATGTCACGGAGGAAGAGTTCTGCTCGGGTCTCTGCGGCAAGACGTACCACCTGAGCAGTCGTCTGACTCAGGCCACCAAAGACCGGATGCGCGTGGCCAGGTCAGTGGGGAATCCATATCCCTCCTTGTCGGCTTCGTCAGAGAGCGAGTGGCAGTCTGGGAGGGATACAGGTTTTAACAGATCCGTTTCGGTGCAATACATTATTTTATGACTGGGTGCAGTCCCTTTTAATCTCACACCCATGCAGCCTGTACGGCGAGTCGTTCTTTTTACCTAGACTAGTCGGTGAAGAGGAGGTGCGCGTGCCGGTCCACACAGCACCCATCTCATACTCCGACTGCAGCGGCTGCTCACTCCCACATCGCCCTTACGCCCGCAGGGCCCTGGTGTGGACTGAGCTGCGCCGGTACCGCCTCCGCGCGCTCCGTCTGCCCGGCTTCACCCACACCTACCTGACGGACCGCCTGCCGCTGGCTGACAACCTCATCCAGCGCTACAGCGACGAGCCGCTCCACTTCCACTGCTACATCGCCCAGAAGGACCCGGCCCAGCCGCGGCTGTCGCGCACCTTCGAGAAAAAAGACGGACACGGACAGCACAAATACCACAAACACGATAGGTATGGGAATAGAGTAGGACAGACAGGACGGGCTCGCTTATCTAATATGACAAATAACTGGCACGGGAACCGCAGAGCATGGCAAACACAACGTCAACAGGACGTGCATGTTTTGACCCAGACATGATATCCATGCAAGGAATGCTAGGTCTTTGTGCAACACCCATGTAGGATACATATTTTCTGATACTGTATGCCTGGCCTATTCAAATACATTAGCCTGAGGGGTGTGGTAATAACTGGTGTAAGCAAAGTGACCACGGTCAAAAACGAATTACCAAGTCAACATTTTGGGATGTCCTCGTTCAAAAAACGGCTAAGAGCTTCGGTCTAGACAATTATTTTATCGTTGGCATACAGTAAAATACATACCAAACTCGGCCGGTGATAAATTTTCAAGACCTCAGTCCTTACTGATTTTTGAACTCGGCCTTCGGCCTCGTTCAAAAATTCAGTAAGTACCTCGGTCTTGAAAATTTATTTACACCGGCCTCGTTCAGTATTATATAATACTGATGAATTTCTGCTCTGTTCTAGAACGCTACCGGCAGAATCAAAGTAGGTATGAGAAAACTGCCCCGAAATACGTATACTGACTTACGTGACATACGTGTGCTTTGTGTATTGGCCAGGCGCGGTCGGCATGACCTACAGCAGAACGAGTGGAGTGACACGACGGTCATCAACTCCAAGCTGACGTACGAGGTAAAGGGCGGTGACGAGAGCGGCGGCGACGGCAGCACCGTCATGAACAGCAACATAAAGTGCGGCCTGCTGGCGCTGGGCAAGAACGTCTACATCTCGGGCATCTACCTGCAGAGGATCAAGGTAGGCGCCAGGCGGGCGAGATTTTTACAGAAAGGCGGTTGAGTCATTGGACTGCTTGTGGAATGAGACAATGTGTTGCATTGTGGCGCCGAGCGATGCTTGACAAGGTTTTCTGCGGAAGCGTAGTTGCTTACTTCAATGTTCATGTTCACCGTGTCCTCTGGCATCAAGTGATACTAAGATGTAACGATTGTATTACTGCTGTAAGTTGATGTATCTGGGACACAACTTCTCCGGTCTAACCTCTGCACCTGTCCTTCCAGGCGCTGATTCTGCAGGACAACCTGGCACTGATCGGCTACCAGGACTTTAAGATCCACCGTGAAGACCGCTGTGTCTACCCGCCCTGCCACGGCCTGACGTACGCCTGTGCGCTGTTCGGCACCGGTGACCAGCTGTTCCTGCCGCATACCGACCCGTGCGCCACCTACCTCAACCGGCCCTGGAGGGAGTTCTTCAAACGGAAGGCGGTCACACCGGAGGATATCTGGAGCAGCGACGTGAGTTAGACGGGGGGAGGGGGAGGTGTGGGAGGATTGTGGGAGGTGGGAGGGTTGGGCTTATAGCCTTATGTGATGTGTGATTTCCGGGGTGAAAGGCCGAGGAGGAACTAGGAGCACGTGAGGAAAATGGGTAAATATGGGCCAAGTGTGACGAGCTATGTCTATTTCTCCATGGCCAAAATCGCTATACAGTCTTCGACTATTCGTGTCCTTCCGTTGACTGCAGCTAAAGTCTTCCGTTTGCTCCGATGCTCTAAACTATCTCCCTTTTCTTCGGTGTGCCCCGCAGCTGCCAGCCAGCCGTCGCGCGCGGCTGTACGAGGCCCGTCTTTCCCCCGGTTCCTCTGTTTGATTTCTGTCCTCTCTCTCAGCTGCTACCGGCTAACCGTCGCACCCTGTACGAGGCTCGCCTGTTCCCGCTGTTGACTGCTCCGTAACTATCTGTCCCCTCTCTCAGCTACCGGCCAGCCGTCGCACGCTGTACGAGGCCCGCCTGTTCCCGCTGCTCAGCTCGCCGGACCACTGGACGGCGCTGATGGTCCTGCAGGACATTGACCTGTGCTGCGGCCCGGCTCACAAATGGTTCAGGGAGTACCGGCCCGAGAGCTGGTCGGCCGTCACCAGATACTCCATCAGGTCTGTGGACTTATGTTTCAGGTCTACACCATTCTGTCCGTCGTTTCAATACCATATCTTAAGTTCTTAACCACCACTACATAGAAAAGATCCATAATCTCATATCTGTCATATAAATGACGTCAGCATCTCAGCTTGTGTCTGTCTGCTGTTCCGAGCCTCATTTTTTATCATTTTTTGGCATCGCTCGCTAGCATGATTCCCGTTTTGCCCAAGAATCGATAACTACTTGCTATTTTTGATTATAGTAATCATTTCATATTTCTTTCTACTTCATGTTTTGATGAAGTAACAACCCCCTCCCGCCCTCGTCCACCAGGGACTTTGTGCACGGCGTGGTTCCCGTGGAGGAGTACATTCTGGGTAGGGAGTGTTTCTGGAGGATCGTCCGCAAACACATCGTGGAGAACCAGCGGCCGCCCAACGGAGACTCGTTCCTGCCCTACTTTGTCGCCGCCAAGGGAGGTAAGACGCTGGGGAGTTCAATAGCTACTGAGTGTCAATTTAGACTTAATTTGTTTATCGTCAATGTATTTTATGATTAGTTTTGGTACCGTGATTTGTGTGAACTCACCAGAACTAAAGACCACAACTGATGTAGAAATTTGCATCTCAAAATTGTTCTTGCTATCGATTGATGATGCATGAAGCTCGAACTCGTTCATAAGAGTTCAGTCCGGTAACACGGAGCACAGGAGCTGCAACATGAAACTTATGGAGCGTAAGCTTTCCAGTGTCATGGCTTCCGGTTCCGACCGCCCGACCGTCTGCCTTTGTCTCTCCGTGTGACCGTCTGCATATTCTCTCCCCCCCCCCCACTCCGGCCGGGCCAGAGCGGACCAGATTCCCCGTTTGTCTGTCTATCTATCTATGCCCGTCCGTGTGACCGTCTGCCTCCCCGCCCCCTCCGGCCGGGCCAGAGCGCACGCCGCGCGTGGAGCACATGCTGCTGGAGGCTCTGGACTGGGCGGCTGCCGCTGCCGAGCCGGGGGACGCAGCGCGACTGCTGGCGGCCCAGGCAGACCTGCTGGGGGTAATGGCTGCGGGACGGGGTGGTCTGCGCAGCGGGCCGGCCGGGAACGCCGCCTGGCAGCCGGCGCTGCACGCCCTCGAGGTGGGTGGACGCGGGGAGGGGGGAGATGGTGGGGTGGGTGGATGATGGTGAGGGAGATGTGTTGGAGTGAACGTCCCGTGGAAAGGTCGCTTTGAAATAGCAAAGCTTTTGGTTAGGTGATGGCTCGCTATCTGGATCCTAGTCTAACATTTCAGCTTCCAGGCTGGTGTCGAGCAGGTGGAACGTTTGCTTGTCCTGGCTTGAACTGTATGTATTGTATGTATGTATTGACACCAAAAGCCTTCCACATATGGCGTGGCGATTACGGCTTATATTGAAACTGATATTGAAACTGACCGACCTTCATTGCAGCTTCGGTGCCCCATTGTTATTCCTCGGTTTTGTGCATTGTCTTTGACCGTAATATAGATCTCTATGCGTAATACCACCTATGATGACTTGACCTGACCTCCACTGCACCCGCGCTCTGCAGCACGAGTCGATCGGAGCCGGCGTGAACCGCCTGGCCGAGGTGCGCCGCGACTGGCTCGGCTCCCCGGACCGTCTGATCCGTGCGGCGCGCCACTACGAGCGCGCCGCCCAGACGCTGGTCCGACTCAGTGTGATGAGAGTGATGGACCAGGTGGAGCTGTGCCGAGCGGACCGGCCACAGCCGGGGGTCTGGGTGACGGCCCGCTGCCCGGCGCGAGCTGATATCGCCGGTGAGAGCGGGATGTATATTTGTGAATGAAGTATTGGGGAGATGTGGACTGGGGACTTGAAGAGGGAAAATATAAAAAAGACAAGGACTTAATAACAAGGACTTAAATATCAACTATTTTACGCTAGACGAAAAGAAAACCTTACGATATCCGCATTTTCATGTCGATCTCCAATGACTGCATCATTTTTATGATAATAATAATGTCCGTCCGCCTATCCGTATGATATCCATTCTTCGATCGTCGATCAGTTCATCTATAGTCCATGCGTCTACCCATCTATCCGTCTGACTGCCTATCCGTCACGCAGGCGGCTGGAGCGACACTCCACCCATCTGTTACGAGATGGGCGGACTGGTGGTCGACCTGGCCATCACCGTGGACGGCGTCAAGCCGATCGGAGCGCGGGCACGGCGCACCGCCGACCCCGCGACGGGAGTACGGCTCAAACTGTGCGGACCGCACGGCGATCAGGTTAGTCTGGGGTTTGTACAGGTAGTTTTCCGGCTGCTCTGAAGGTGCTGATAGCATGCCAGGTCAGTCTACTTGAGACGGACTCTTCATGTTACCGTTACAGTGGTAAATAAGTCAACAAGTATCTGATATCGACGGAACACGAATACGAAAGGGGAGATGATTACAGGAGGATCGATGTAGATAAGGAACCGCATGTATGAGAGGGATGTTACAGATTAGTCCAGGGTCGGGACTTTTAGTGGCTGTCGCTTGCCTGTATGTGACCATCATGTCTTTCCGAACACCTTACACTGAGTGCTGAAGCTGACCTCGCTGCGGTATGTCTGTGTAGGTTCTGGAGCTGACGTCTCTCGACTCTATACGAGACTACACAAGTCCGGCGGCGCCCGGTCAGCTGCTCAAGTGTGCCCTGATCGTCACAAACATCATCAGTCTGGAGAGCGATACGCCGCTGGCCGAACAACTCAAACAGGTGGGGATAAGAGACGAGACACCTGAGAACTCGCGCGGGGGGAGCATCTGTCCGCTCCTGCACTGCTATTACTTTGTTCCACCCGGCTTAAAATATGCTGAGCTACCTCACGGCCCTGGAAATCGCTGAGGTCGCCATCACCTCGCACTGTATTTTCACTTTTCGAAATCGCTGTATGCGACTGAGGGACTATTGGCGATCCGGTTCAGCACTGGGACTTAGTATAAAGATCATGCGCTCATCTCCAGTCCCCCACAGTTCATGACCCTCCCGTCTTCCCTACAGACTGTCGGCGGCGGTCTGGAGGTGGAGACGTGGTCCCGACTGCCCCAGGGCTCTGGGATGGGGGCCAGCAGTATTCTGGCCGCCGCACTGGTCAGCGTCCTATGGACTGTCTCAGGGAGCGGATACAGCAAGAACGACGTCATACATGCGGTAAGACGTAGGCTGAAGACTGTGTGTATAAGATAACGTATCTATTGTAGATGATCAAACTGCTCCAATCCTGCCCAATGAGCACGTTAGAACTCAGAAGGCGTTGCGCCTTGGAGGTGTGACCGGATCCATGTGTAGTCTGTACATTTGTTAGATGTTGTGCCAGTATGGTAGTCTGCTTGACCTGACTTCTATCACTGTTAGACGCTGTACCTGGTGCAAGTGACCTGACCTCTTATCTCTGTCAGACGCAGTTAACCTGGAGCAGGTGGCCACCACGGGCGGCCGTGGGTAATCCGACCTGACCTGACCCTCTGTATGTCAGACGCTGTACCTGGAGCAGGTGGCCACCACGGGCGGCGGTGGGTAATCTGACCTGACCTGACCTGACCCCGTCCATCTGTATGTCAGACGCTGTACCTGGAGCAGGTGGCCACCACGGGCGGCGGTGGGTAATCTGACCTGACCTGACCCTCTGTATGTCAGACACTGTACCTGGAGCAGGTGGCCACCACGGGCGGCGGCTGGCAGGACATTGCCGGCGGCGTCACCGGAGGCGTCATCGTCTGCTCGTCACCCGGACAGGAGCGGCACCTGCCGTTCGCCGTCGGTACGTAAAAGAGCGGTGGCTCAGTACCCGGTGGGTCCTTGTCCACGGCGACTGTCCGTGCCCCTGTGTATAGGTTGTTCGTGCCCTTTGGTCGACCGCGTTCCATGTCTATCGCCTATCGGTGTTTGTGCCCTGGTCGTCCGCGTAATAGCAGATCCTCTGGCACTCGAAATCAAGTCATGGCAGCTTGTCCCGTGTCAGGGTCCGCGTGTCATTGCTGACCTGTTTCACGTTGTTTATCTGTGTCAGTGCCTGTCTTGTCCTGTTATTCTGTCTGCCCCACTGACACTGTGCCTATCTACCTCCCCAGGTGCCGAGTGGGTGCCGGTACCATCTTACCGGACACCCTGGCCCGTCACTGTATGTGACCTGACTGACATATGTGATATGTACCCCTCCAGGTGCCGAGTGGGTCCCGGTGCCGTCCTCCCTACCGGACACCCTGGCCCGTCACTGCCTGCTCGTGTTTACGGGCCGAGTGCGGCTGGCCAGGAACCTCCTTCAGACGGTCGTACGTAACTGGTACGCCCGGGAGCCGCGGCTGGTGGCGACCTTCAGGAAACTGGTGGAGACGGCTCGGCAGATGTGCGCCGCGCTGGCTGACGGTACGTACAAATTTGTTATCTTGTTACATGCGTGTACAGCAGTGTAGGCTGACAGTGTGATGACGATGGTACGACCATGTACGACGTAGGATCATGTGTAAGACGACAGACGTGATGCCGTCATATAAGGTGCGTCGATTGCTGCAATCACTGCGAAGGTAAACAAAGTATGGTGGTGGTGGTTCTGCAGAACTGATAAATGTGCAGGCGATGATAAATTTTATCTAGGGTCTGTGCGGCTCACCTTACTTCGATCTGCATCCTTCCCAATGTCTAAAGTCCTCTGCCCTTTTCCCTGCGGATTTAACCCGGGCTACTATCTGACCGTCGTCCCTGTCTGTGACTGATCAGGGGACCTGGAGGCGATCGGTAAGAAGATGAGCGCCTACAACAGCCAGAAGAGCGAGCTGACGCCGTCGGCGCTGCCCGAGGTGGTGCAGAAAATCCTCGCCGCGCTGCGGCCTCTGCTGCTCGGAGCGGTACGTAAATTGTAACGTCAGTGGTCTTCCGTTATCCACAGGCTTCAGCCCAGTCAGTTTCCTTTAATGACGGCTCGCTACTGAGATCCCGATGCGCCCAGCGCCAGTCCTGTCCAGTGTCCATCTGCCTCAGTCGCCTGGATGGACTGGGCAAAGGCTTGTTTGCCTAACCGGTGCCGAGCGTCCAAGCAACGCGAGATGGCACTACCAGCTGTATTTTGGCACTGTTCCTACCGTTAAACCAGCTGCACCTGGTACGGTGGCAATGGAATCCCACGTGTGGGCAGACTCGCTGGCTCGGGGCCTCAGCTAATTCGAACAATCCTCTCCTCTTCCTGTTATTACATCTCTGACTCAGACTACTACAATCCCAGATCTACAAAACAATCTTGGTGGTGCACTCATCCGACTTTCGGCTAACAGGTTCAGCATGCCTGTGCGTATCATCCTACAGGAAATTCGCAGCAAGAGACTTATCCGTTGTTTTTGCCTGGTGCTAATTGAAACTCAAGTGCCACCTGTGTTGAGCTGTTTTAAGGTGACCCTAAGTCGACCGGCACCTGGCACAGAGTGCTCAGCGGGTCACGGGGCTCAGCGCGGGATAATGCCAGCTGGAAGACACGTGGCTGAGCTGAGGTGTATCAACAGGGAGGGAAGGGAGGATAGTGTGGTCTGACTTGACAGCCACCACGCCGTCACTTGTCGGTTTTGAGGTCGCTAGCAAGGCTCACAAACCATGTCATGCATGTAATCAGACTGCGAATCCACTTCTGGTTAACGGAGCTCGGCTCGCCAGCACGTGTTCTCCCCCACTCCGGAAATGGGATGATAACTTCAGCGGTGAATACTACGCCAAGGCCGCGCTTTAGAACGTGTTTGGTGTCCGGAAGGCGCGGATGAGCACCACTAGCGGTTGGACTCGTGTGTATTGCACAGCTGGATAGTGGATTAGATGAAACACGTGCAGTTGCGACCTTTATATGACCTGTTTAAAAGCCCAACTTATCGTGATCCATGGTTCCTTTTGGAAAAGAGTAAGAGACGGAATTTTATAATCGTTGACATTAGGATGAACGAAATGTCCAGTCCACCCAATATGCAACCATTTTCAATGTGTCATTGTGTTTTCGAGTCATTTCCTCCTCGATTCCCCTCTATCAGACATTCAGAGTTTACTGAAGCTACCAGTGTGCATTGCGCATCCCTTTCTCAGCTCACTGGCCGGTGTGTATTGCGCCTCCCTTTCCCAGCCAACTGACCCTAGTTTTCCCCTCCGCAGACCATCATGGGCGCGGGCGGCGGCGGCTTCCTGCTGGTGCTCACCCGTCAGCCGGACCAGGCGGAGGCGGTGCGCGCCGCTCTGGAGGCCCTCGACATGCCCGAGGAGCGACTGTCCGTGCACACGCCGGCCCTGGACCGACACGGGCTGGAGGTCACCGTCGGTGACGCCGTGCTGCCGCTCAGACAGCAGTTTACCAACTTCGCCTCGGCGCACACTGGGAACGACTAGGTACCGGGCGGAGCTCCGAGAAACGTCAGACCCTGAGAACTGCCGGTTCGGTGCTCATGGGAGACAGTCAGCCCAGCGAATTTACCACAGGCCACTAAGCGCATCTACGGAACGCACGATTCGCTACATGCTTGCCCAGCGGTCTTGGTTACATCGGCCTGACTAGTGACCGGGCCAAACTCCTGGAGATCGTAGCCCCCAGAGGAGCTTTGTTGTACCGGGATGGGGTTTTGTAGACGCTAGAAGATCGCTAGATAGGCACCAGTGAGGGTGCGAACGGCTTGCCAGCGCTTATCGCACGAAATAGATGCTAGTGGTGCTACCTTTGTCGTTTGATATATTTTTAGACCCATAGAGTATTGTGAGTTGTTATTGGGTGATTTTTACAGAGTGCGTCAATTGTAAAGCGAGGTAATCCTATCCGAAAGAAGGCGTTTCGAGTGAGTTGGGCGGAAAGAGGATGATAGGCTCGGCATTTAGCCGTCAGAGAGGCAATCGATATATTTTGCGCACGACAAATTCATCCTGTGATGTGTGAAGTGCCATTACGGTCTAGTGTTGTTTGGGGTTGTGTTTAAACACTGACGCTGCGACGGTGTCCGCTAGCGCGCGGGCGGCCCTCCAGCGCAGTTTTATACAGTTACCGTGTGCTGTGTGTCTGCATGTTAACTATCCCCACACAGGTCACCTAGTGATCCCGGCGCGCCAGTGTCGGCGCTGTTCCCTGTTTGTGTGCAGTGCGCCGACCCAACTAATCCCACGGCGGCCCGCACCGCGACACGGGTAAATGTTTGAGGCTGAGCGTTCCGAGACGCCGTCACTGTCGCAGAGCGCACGCGCTGTCCCGTGCTACAATGTGTGACCAAAGCACCCGTACGGCCGCCTCGGGGCGGCGCTAACCACCGCGGCTGCAAACCATGTGCTGTGTGAAACACATAAATTTGATACTGCTGCAGTCACAGACGCGTTTGTATGGACTGTGCGGGAACACGCGTGAGTCTAATCGAACCGACCATCCCAGCTAGGAAAAGTCGGTCTACACAATCGCACAGGTTTTGGGTGATCTCTGGTTTCCCTTTGTATTCGTACTGTTCACTCAGCAACACGAGGTCATATGACGATCGCAGAGGGACTGCCCACTGAGTCTGTCCCGCCGCGCTATGGACATTTTCCGTGGAGGGGAGAGGCGGCGCCCGCCCCGGACTGCTGCGGGGACTGGGCGCCGCCGGCGGGCCGCCCTCACCCGGCGACAGCGGCGACTCGGAATGGCGACGGACGATGACGAGATGAGAGGTGGGGAACGACGGGGCGGCGCGGCACTAGCGGCGGCCGCGACCCCGTCCCCGCGGCCCGCCCCGACCACCACGGCCGCGGGGACCTCCCCGACCCCGGCCGCGGGGGCCGCCTGAGGGCGGAAAGAGGGTGTCAGAAACGGCATGGGCACATCGCACTGCATCTGCTGGCGAAACATGGATGCTGACAAACACAGACACACATGCTAGTCATCACAAACACAGCGCAATCACGCCAGAGGTCACGACTGCGGCAGGTTAACAATTAGCGTGAGGATTAGTACCGCAGGTCACTTCAGAAAAAAAGCGATGCCCATTCACAAACTGTACCGAACTGACTTGTGAATGCATCTCATCCCAACAGATTGCTACTTTTACTGCTTCACTACATCCTGTCCCTCCCCTCCAGGTGCCGACATTTCCCACGCCTCCCCCTATTTCCCAGTTCTTACCGCGTCCGCCACGGTCGGCGCGTCGCGACTTCATCTTTGGTGTGTCGTCAATGAGCAGCGTCTCTAGGGGCAGCGAGTCGGGCAGGATGTAGTAGCGGATGTTGTTACCGCGCACACTCAGCGTCTCCAGCTGGGTGGGTTCGCGGTTCTTCAGCGTCATCTTCACCGCCTTCAGGTGCGTGTTCATCGCCACGTCCACGCCTGCCGCGGCGCAGGTCAGGTCAGGTCAGGTCAGGTCAGGACAGTGGTGGTATGTGGGGACATTGACACTATCTAACATGACAATCGGTTTTACATGCACTGCGACGCTGCCGACGTTTTCCCGAGGATTTTTCTACGTTATGCGTTAAATTCACGATATTTCACTCCAGCGCCAGCGCGATTTCAGCAGGGTATACACTATACAGACGATCATACCTGTGATAGTTCCATGTACGAGTGTGCCATTCTTCAGCTCAATTGTAACAGTCTCATGACTGAGTTTCATCAAAAACCTGCAAATAAAAATGAAACTTTAGGGCATGTACCAAAACATCCACTCAGAGGAGCTGAATAGTTTTACACCAAATTGGCTATGTGAAGGCCTGAAGAAAGCATTGTTGTAGAAAAACATTTGCAGTTTAGTTCTCTAAGGATATGATAGGTTACCTATTCATAAGAAAATTGAGATTAGACAACCTCTTCAAACAAGAAACTAGTAACAGCTTGCCAGCTTAAGTGAGAGCATCACAAAGAAATGACTGCAACAAATACTTTACAGAAACATTGTAGAGCAGCTAAAACATTTCTTTTTCCTAATGGTGATGCTTATATTAATGTCAGGTTCAACACATCACCATTCTCATTGGATAATCTGCCTAGTTCTGAAATACAGGGTAGACTAAAATGGAAGTTGGTAAAGGCAATAATCCATAGATCTCGATGATCATAAAATATAGGCACCTAATGAATATGATTTAGAAGCAGCACTCACTGGTAGCACACCAATTATTGCATGATAGCAAAATATCTTATTTGCAGGTTAAAACTAACATCACTCATCCTTTACTGATATCAATTAAGGGAGCATTTTAATTTACTCAAAGGATGTCGATACAATAAAAAATAAAGTAGGTAAACATACACAAAAAAATAAAAAGTAAAAAGTACCTCAATGAAAATAAATATTGTAACATGTAAATTGTAATACTTAATAAAACAAATCCTGCTGCATGGTACTTTGAGCATCAGATAACTGTATCAAACAGCACCCATGCAGACAGAAACATCAATGTATTCAGGTATTGACGAAGTGTCATTTCTAATCTTCCACAGGTAAATGATAGTAATTCGTATTCGTTTCGAGCTACACTGAGGTAAAAAATTGTTATTTTGACCATAAGATATTGACCAAAAATTGTTATTTTGACCATAAGATACCCTTTACTGCTTTCATACTGTCCGAACTTGATGCTTGGATCGTAATGCAGCATATTTACGTCTGGACAACGAGTTGCGTTGGAGAGGCCGGAAATAGTGGCGATTTCAGGACCGCAAGAATGGACCGTCATTGGAATGATTCTTTTTTAAACCGTGCACTGTTTTCGGCCGGAATTTAATAATTACTACAAAACATTTTGTAATTACGTTTCCACCAAGAATGAATGCCATCAGGGCTAATTTTTTACTACTTTCTTATTTTGTCAAGAAGCATATAGTGCTGTCATATTGCAGTTTTAGCGCGTTTGTTACAAAATATGAAGCGAAAAGCGTCAGTGTATATCAATATCAATATTGTTCACTATTTCATTTGTGCCTTCATGTCAGTATTGAAGGTGGATCATTAAATTTTCAACGCAGTTTACAAACAAGCATTTGGTCTTTCTCGTACATAAGCAGTGGCTAAGAAAAGGTTGATCAATCCTGAAGTTCAGTCATCGTACCTCAACTTAGCAGCAAGATCCCCAAGGACAGAGGATATAATATATTGTATACATGTCCTGTAAATCAAAACAAACAAGCATTTGGTCTTTCTTGTATATAAGCAGTGGCTAAGAAAAGGTTGATCAATCCTGAAGTTCAGTCATCGTACCTCAACTTAGCAGCAAGATCCCCAAGGGCAGAGGATATATTGTATACCTGTCCTGTTAATCAAAACATTTTTGTGCCTGCAAAGGCTTAAGTTATCTGTGGTGTGTTCGGACTTTGGAGTTAGGCTATATGGCCATTTTTGTTGTATGTTTATGTGGAGATTGAATATAACTGACACTGTGCTTGTTTGTATACTTACTATCGTCAAACAGGGAACAGCACATTCACATAACATACTCACCTAGCACCTAACTCATAGCTGTACCCTGCAGGATCTGTACTTGTTCATGTCTCGAGCATTAACAAAGCACTTAAGTAGCTTAGTAATCATTTCCACATTTTCTGAGCATCTAACATGACATACAGCAGTGCTGAGCAGCTTCAGAGAAGAAACACTTTAAATGCACAGACTCACACTAGCCACCCAATGAGCCAATTCCTCAGTTGACTGTTTCCCTGGATGCAGCTTGGCAATGTGAGCTAACTTTTGGCAAGTTGAAGGTTAGCAGGTAAGATTGAGTTAGGGTGAGTACTGAGTACCTATCTATAACTGGGTGCTACTGCTATGCAGGTCTTGGGTAGGCTGCAAATATGTACGTGATGATTGAGGTTAGGTCAGCTGTCAGGTTAGTCAGGTATGCTCATTGCTCAGGTCACATTTTTATGGACACTTGGCAAATTAAAAAAAACTAACAATCTAATCTAAGCTAACCTGACTAAACATACACAACTACTGACTATAGGAACTAAGCACCTACCTACTTGTGCCTACATCTCATACCATGTCAAAGTAGAGTTCCTTGGTGGAAGATTACCATCAGTACTTTTTATCCCAACCCTGTGATGAAAACTAATACTTCTAAGCTCTGAGTCAGTACTTGCCATCCACAGGAAGAAACACTGAGGCTGAGAGCTTTGCCATTGTATATTGGACCAATAATCACTATCACGAATGACTATGAAGTATGAACACATTATATGATCACATCGTTGCATGGATTGTCACATTGACAATTTTACTACAATCCTTTTTCAAGAAATACAGTGATGATTAACATCAAAATCAACATAAAGTGGATTTAGTGATCCAAGCTTTCTCCTCCAGTAGCAATGGAATGATCGCATGTTTCATTTGCCAGCCAGAGTACCTGATGCACATTATACAATCTGCATAGCATCTAAGCATACTGCATAGTAAAACTGCCCAAGTCCATTCATTCTAGATTTCTAACTTGATAGTTAGCACTAATTTATCTTGCTGTTGTAAGTTATCATTCAATATTCATACCAATACATGAATATGCGCTCATCAGTCAACATTTTCTGGCATGATCCTGCTCAGCGTGCTCTTCAGTATTGCTCCAAGGTCTGCAATATTATAGCTTGTTTTTGGCCAATAAGCTCTTTTAATTTAACTTTTTCTTGCTGATATATGAGCCCGATCAACTTTCGTTTATCAACCAAAATTTCATAACCTGTTCAACTTTGACTTGATATCAATATTGATATTGCTCAGGAGGTGCGCCTCAGGAGTCAGGACCTCTGTCAGCCTCCTGGATACTTCAGATTGTTTTCAGTCAACATGCTTCTTATATATGATATAAGTCAATCTTAAGGGATTCAAAACATCCAACAAAACGACGTACAAGAGTAAGAAAACCACCAGATAAACTAAAAATGGCCTTGGAACAGAGCCAAGTGGTGCTCCATTTGTTTGTTTACAATGATTGTAGTGCTGATGTATTTTTAGGACTCTGAACGTCGGCTTATAAAAAAATGAAACGTTTTTACAAACGTTGTAAGGCAAGTAATATTTATCTGAAAGAACTAAAATATTCAAAAGCCAAACACTATGAAATACATGAATCGGAACGAAAAAGTAACCCAAAAATCCAGCCTAATCACCGGCTCCTAAAACTGCAACAAAATCAGCACTTTTCCCCGCAACTCGTTGTCCAGACGTAAATATGCCGTAATGCATTAGTTCCAATTGAATACTACTTTATGTGCCTTTTCAAAGAATACATTGATAGTAATTCAGCTTAATTCTCGGCCATTTAGTTTGTGACTGATACCTAAGTAAGTTAAAAAAATCGCACATGGACAACCGGCATCTTCACGCGACAATAACGGCGCACACAAAACATCCCAAATTCATGAGGAAAATAAATCTTGACATGATACAAAGCACATCTCAATACACAAAAACGATTTATGTATTCATCAAAGCACTCACCTTACAAGCTTCATGGCTTAACAAGAAAATGCAGCCTGACAGATCAGAAAACGTTCACAGCGACACAAAACGCACGCCGCTCGCAGATGTAAGATAGAGAAGCATTTCTTATTTGTTTTCCTGTTATACTACATTAAAGCTGCTGTAATAAATTTCTCATATTTATTTTTGCAATACCATTTGATGGAAGTAGTAACCTTAGCTCAGTATAAGGAAAAAGTAAATTAAAGTTTCGACAAATTCATCCCTATAAATCTGTTTCGTATAAAACGCACTAGAGACATTTACAAAAGTAAACAAAAATATTCATTGGATTCATTACGTGAACGTTTGCGACTCTCAAGTCAAAGTTGGGGCTACATTTTTCATTAAAAAGTAAGAGAAGATGATTGAATGGATTGTTGGTTACTGAAGGCATATTATTTCTTTATTGGCGTGAGCTGCCATTGACTGTGCTTACAAAAACTGTAAGATCAGAGAAAACCCGTAACTGTGGTCAGTAAGTTTCAGCTTGCTGATAGTTCCAAGAGGCTGGGAGCCTAAAACAAAGGCTAAAAGCAGCACCGCGGAAATTTATTGGTAAAAGTTGGCCTTGAGCTGTTGCAATAGTATGCCAAAAAGTGTTGCAGCACATTAGGGTCTAGGCATGGCGTGTGATTTTATCCATACACTGGGGATCCCGATCCCCATTTACTCAGTTTTGGTTTCTGTGGTTGATAACTGAGGTTCTTCATAAAATTTGCCGCAATGCCACCGTGATTCTTTTAGCTTCCACCTCGTTGTATGAAATGTGGCAGTGTAGGTAGGTAGGCAGTTGGACATCATACCAAATATGTGCTATATCTCTGCTAATGTTTTTGCTCCATTTGTGAAGATTGAGATGCTCAGCAGACTTGGACTACAGCCAGTCATTCATTAATGTTATGTACCAGTCAATAGTCATATGCTGCAAAGTTCAACTTATTTCAATGTTTTTTTTTTCAATGTATTAATGTCTGTGTTTCAGGACTGATAAGATCACAAAAAACAAGTCCTGCATAAATCCAGCCTTTCAATATGCCAAAGGTTGTGTCATCATCATTGGTATGCACTGATAGCAAGGACAAGGAAGAATACAGCAATGACAAGCCTCTTCACACTTACTACTGTCTGTGTGGGCAGATGGCTGCTGTCATTGGTAAGAATTGTAATCTCTAGTTTTAGCTGCTCAGCTGGCTCATATGATAAGCACTGCACTCTGTCTGAGCATGCAGATGCATACAAAGCTACTGCCTTAAATAACCTCTAGTTAGCATGCACTTTAGTGTTTTGCACCTGGCTTGATTTCACTGCTATACTTAGGTTTGATTTTAATCATATTTATGCCTCAATATTGGCTTGTTTATTGAGACATAAATATGTCTCAATATTGGCTTGTTTATTGAATCTTTAGGCAGCTGAGGCTTTCAGGTCCTAAACTCTACACTTTCCATTGTCCTCAGATCACCTCCAGAACCCTCAGGTCACTTCAGTGCTCTCTGATTATCCCTAGTGCTCTCAGAGGCCAGAGCTTCCCTGGAACCCTCAGACAATCTTATCAGCTTGCATTAGGTCATTTTCATATGCCCTCAGCTCTGTTGCCAGATTCACTATTTTATATGCCCTCAGGCTGATGTCTCCTATGTCCAAAACTGCCCTCTGTGCCCTAATCCCCTGTGCTCTCATATGTCCTTCTCTCTCACACCATTCTCATAACTATCCCATCAATCCTAAAAATATCCCATTACTTTGCAGCCCTCGGGCGTTTCCCTGTGTGTCAGAGCTCAGATGTGTCCATTGTGTTTCCCTGTGCTTTCAGTCACACTGCCTTTGTCCCCTTATAACTCACCCACGCGCCCTCAGACCGTCCTCTCGAGAAGCTGCCACTGCGGGCTCGAGACGGTGCGCGCGTCATCGACGGCAGCAAGCACGCGCACAAGCTGACCTTCCTGGACGACGAGGTGGTACACCTGCGCCGCGAGGAGGGCATCGAGGAGCAGTTCCGCAAAAAGTGCTCCAAGTGAGTTCGGCGCTTTGACGTGACTGTCCTACCTCGGCAGTCGGCAGTAGTTTATAGTAAAAATACCTGCGCTGCTCTTACGGTCTCCGTTAGCACTCCAGATATTTTCAGTTGTCGGCCCGGCCAAGGCAAAACAACAGCGTAGCCGTATAGGCCCTCCGGGAGATCTGAGGATACGTCCCAGTTGCTGAGAGCTGGGAATACTTTTGAACAATCCTGGCGGGCCACCCAGGCTTTCTTGTCCCTTTAATGGAAAATGAGGCCCCAAATTCATGTCCATGAAGTATGAACAATGTCAGTCTTAGTGGCTGCAACCCCCGGTTTGGTAACCGGCCCCAGGAGGGAGGGTTCGCCCGTGGATGAACTTGCTTAGTAACTGGCCCGGCAATAACCAAGGTGGGGCAGCCCTTTGATTGATGAAGAGACGACCTACTGTAGAGTAGCCAATAGCCATGCTGAATACTGATGCGTTTTACACGTTTTTTCCCGGCGATCGGCCACTCCCTTCTCTCAGCTGACGTCACACATTGACGTCACGAATTGCTACGACCCTGCGACCGGTATCCGTTGTAGTAGTTTGTATTCACGCAAGGTGCCGCGTCCGCAGGGGAAGTATGCATATTACTCATTGACGCAATATGATCTGCCAACTAGGTGGCGAACGGTGTCAATCTCGCAATAAGGGAGTGGCGGGCATTCACCTGTGAAATACGATCATCCTGTCAGCGGGTACTCTCATTAGCCGAGTAATATGTGTGAAGTCCAGCCGGGATCGCTGTGAGTTGACGCGTATCGCCCAGCAGGCGTCCTGCCCCACCTTCACCAGTTATTTACGGTACGTGTGCCACTCCCCTGTTGTCAGGTGCGGGCTGTGGCTGTACTACCGGCACGGCAGCGCCAGCAGTAACGTCACGTTCATCGTCCAGGCGGCGCTGGTGCAGTCGGTGCAGAGCAGCATCTACAACCAGGTAACCATGGAAACCGGGAGATACCGGCAGACACGACCGAGGGGCGGTCACATATATTTTTTTTCGAATTTCACTGTCGATGTAAAGGGAACTGAGGACTGCGGTCATAGTAAATTATTGATTAACGATAACGACACTAAGCTGCTCTGTCTCAAATATCGCATGCGTCGCCTCCTTCCCAATGGCTTGGTTGTCGCCTCTTCACTGTCGTATCACCGTCTGCCCTTGTTTAGCTCATAGCTCACTGCCCTGTATTTAGTCTCGGCTCACCTGGCCACTTCCTGCCATACCCGCAGGTGACCAGCGCAGCCAAGGCGGAGAAGGTGATGATCACAAAGCACACCAAGACGATGGGCAAGTTCTCATCGGTGACGGTCTCCACGATGGACGAGGAGGAGGATGAGATAGAGGACGTGAGTAGCCCTCCGCCCGCACGGCCACCGCTGGCGTGTTGCTGGTTTGAACGTAGCTGGGTGTGAGATGACAGAGGTTTATGAGTAGGCGCGATTGTTGTTGTCACCAGAATGCAACATCTTAGCGTAGAAACGGGCATGACTGCCTTTCGCGAACTTATGTTTATTTCTAAATTGGTCGTGATTTGCGATCAATTCCCATGATTCTTCTTGATTCACAAACACTATTGAGCTTGTCCAGGACTGAATCTTCCGACGTGTTGTTCTTCGGGCCTGCTGATCCTTTATCAGTCATTCATGTTTGTGTCGTAGCGTATCCGATTGGCGTATCGGATCCTGTAGTAATTCTCTCATACGGAGATATAATTCCTCCCCTTTTTCTTTGTCTGTAACCGTGCTCCTCCGCCGGCAGCGGGAGGTGGCCGACTCGTACGCGCAGAACGCGCGCATCATCAAGAAACAGCTGGTGCGGAAGGGCATGATGAAGCGCGACAACGAGCCCGAGCAGGAGGAGGCTGCGGCCAAACGGCAGCGCGTGAAAGGCACCCTGCTCAACCACTGACGCACCCCACCCCTGCCCGTGTCATCACCGTGTCATGATATCATCCACATCGCTCGCCGTTCATGCATTGTGTAATTGTGTATATCGTGTGCTTATTGTTGATGCATACGTGCAAATATAAGGTCATCGCTCACGAGATGTGTTCTGGTACGGAGAACATCCTTGTCGGGTCAGACATGGGGGAGGGTTTTCTTGGAGGGTCAGCTAATTCAACTTTTTTCGAACATCAGATTCTAAAACGATAAATACTAGTCACAGTTCAGTCCATCTCTATTGCTATCCAGTGGCGCACGCTCTGCACTCGCTCTGAGATACCCCATGGAGGCGTTAGGAATTGGGCGATCCAGGCATTACCACACTATGCCGACACCATCAGGCAATACGGACACCACACGTCAGCGTACACAGGAAGCCTGCAGGATTTCACCACACACGCTCACAGCTCAATGCACAGAATGCCGCATCTCAACCCACATAATCAGCGCACTGTATCATACGATCGTCACAGCTTAGTTCACAAACCAATCCATTGCAAACATTCACTTTAGTGCAATTACAACACTATCGGTGTCGTCCCCGTACACATTTCAGCATAGAACACTCCATTGCCACACACATTACAATGTACAGCCTACAGGCACAAATGCCGCATTTATCTGCACTTCGCGAGGTAACGCGAGTCTACAGTCACCCACCAATGACAGTATAGGTGTCTCCAATAGGGGCCGCGGGACAGACTGAAGACCTGTCCCTTGTGGTACACACCAAGATTACTTTACTACTCGTACACACAGCCACCGGCCGCGAACAAATGAGTTGACAATGGTTGACTGCCCCTGACACTGAGGTAAGGTGGCAACATATGGGGGAAAAGCATGCAGCGCGACATCCCACTGAAATTCACACACTGTATAAGAACAGTCGCTGTGGCCGCAGTTTCCAGACACTGGAGTTTTTCGAAGCCCGCCCGACTCCATCGCATAATGCAGTACACAGACTAGAAACACTCCATGTGTAAAAGCATTCACAATCCTGTGCTGGGCCGACATACTGGCCCATCGTAAACGAAAGGTCGAAAAGGCGTTAACTACTATCCGTGCGATTCGGGCAGACGGTTTGCCGGTGACAATGTCCAGTTTACACCATCCTTGCCACGTTGGACGGATCTGCGGAAGGCACGTGGCTCTACTGCACGACATTGTAGAGCCACTATAGCCTGATGTACCTAACATGTTCCGTCACACTTCGGTCAACCTGTTAAATATTGTCGATGACGAAACTCGGTCGGTAGAGAGAGGAGCAAAACCCCCCTGTTATCCTGTCAGGTACTCGCAGTATCCGCAACACACAGCACTGATGAAAATCCCTACCGAAGCGGTCAAATCGACTGCTTCGACATCTGTCATTCCTGCAGCCACTTTGATGACATCCACGGCGCCACGTCAACCGAACTATCATCCGAAGGCACTCGGTACTCGGAACCTAACAACCAGTCCAGTTCACTAAGAGTCCCTAAAGCGACCAAGGTCACGATGCTTCCTTCACACACGTCCCGCCTCTCCGGTCTCCCGCCGACTGAGGCAGTCGTCCCGTCAGCCCCGCCGGAGCAAACGGCAGGTCGTCGTCGTCATCGTCTTCGTCGTCGTGTATGACGTAGGATGTGTAGCAGTCGTACCCCAGTGAGACCGTGTTGTCCCAGAGCACACGGTATCTGCCGGCCAGAGCCGAGGTAGGTAGAGCTGGCAGATGGACGTGATAAGGCGGCACAGCCAGATATGTGTGTCGCTCGTCCATCCGGTCTCGTATCACCTTGTCCCGTATCCCATATCCCACGTAATAATTCATCTCACGATTTGCGAACTTGCATACCGATGCAGATGTTACGTAGCCACCGCTAGGCGTAAGGCTAGGTATAACATTTTGGATATAAAAATATCACTGACACAGCAGTGGAGTAATAAAATTGCACGCAGGTTTAAACCCGTGTACGCAGTCCACCCACGTCCACTCTCACCTGGTGGGCAGACAGTAGAAGCTGAAGGCCTGCGCCGGCGGCCACACGGTCCACTCGGCCAGGTACAGCCGCATGAACTTGGCCTGGAACGTGTCGACGAGCTCGCGGGCGCCGCGGCCTCGGAACACCTCCAGCGAGACGAGGAAGGTGGCGATCAGCACGGGGGAGAAGACCAGCTGGTCGACCAGCACCTGCCGAGGGAGGAGATGGGGGTTATTGCGGGACGTCTGCGCCAGGGCTGGTCACCGGCGGCGGACGGCTAAGAAGGATGTCACCGGGGCAACACATAATCAAACAGAAATAAGTAAAAGCGTATGATTATAAAAAAGGTAAAGATTAACTATTTGAACGGAGACCATTATAGACCCTCCAGGCTTCGCTGGTTCAAAAATGACATCCATTCCAGAAAATATTGTCAAGACTTGGAAACAGAGAAACGATTTTGCACCTCAGGAGTCGTAACCGCGCCGGCCCGGTCTGCCCGATCCTCACCTTTTTGGCGACGACGCCGATGGACCGTCCCACCCACCAGCGGTCGAGCGCCAGGTACCAGTAGTGGCAGAGCACGCCGGCGCCCATGCCGCAGCCGGACATGTAGGCCACGCGGCGGCAGTCGTAGCTGCACCGGCCGCCGCGCGACATCTGGTATCTGGTGGCATGGTGGGACGGTTAGGAGTCAGTATGGGGCTTTTGTGGGTAGCTGTGGTTCCAGAGTTGATGACAGGGTCTCTGTCTATCTATAAGCAACAATCTAAATTTAGCATCTGGTGACAAGAAGATGGGCATGGCTTTCAGATGTCATTTGGGAGTTGAAAAGGTTAAAAATTTAAATAAGCTTATTATCATGGTTGCATCCCAAAATACTTGAAAGTCATTTTACAAGTATTTTTAAAAACAACTACAAATAAAACCAACTTTCATCATTCCAGCTTACAATCAACTGGATATCTATCTACATCACAAACTATCACTGGATGACATAAACACTCCCAAGGTCTACTCACTACAGCAACTTACCTTTGTTGAAGAGAGTCCCCTAAGGCTGATAACGACACAGACACTGAAATATTTGTCAGCAGCAAGTGTTTCCCGAATGTTGCCTTGTTCAGTCTGACCAATTTCTCTTTCACTGGATGAAGGCTGCTGGCAGCCTTTCTTATGATGCCCTGAGCCATCCTATACATCCTGGTAGCTGTAAGAATGGCAATAAGTAGGTCAAAAATGGACATTGCAGCATTAGGCAGACAACTTACTTGAGATAGAGGCATGTGGCAATAGCATGAAGCAGTACAATAAATGGCATCTTTACTTTAACTCTAAAAGCACAATACTTCTCACAGATTAAACTAAGAGTACTGAAGTAGGCACTTATAAAAATATGTTGAAATTTCCTGAACTGGAGACCCCTGGTTGGACAAGCCTGACTTGTCATAGCCCCGTCTGCAAAACGTGGCAGGGTTCGACGAGATCTCGTCGGGGCAGTCACAGTGGGGCAGGGGCAGAAATCGGGGCAGCTTTTGAGAAGTCGGGGCACAGTTCGGCGATTCCGGGGCAGACCGTTTGCAGTCGGGGCGGACCGGGGCGGGGCACACGGTACCGGGAGAAAATAATAAAGAAGCGGAGTATTGTTGAAACGCGCGAGAAAAAGTGGGCTGCGCCACAATCGTCGCTAAAGCGCAGAAACTGACATTTAAAACTGCTGGCATATTCAAACTTCCCTTCATCAGGACTATGAATGTTTTACGCGCCGTGTTTCGTATAAGCAACCAAGAAAATGTGCTCCCGGAGCTAACTCCTTTCTAGCCTAACCAAATCGAATCAAATCAAATCAAACCAAACCATACCTAGCCTAATCGAACACTCATAAATGTGCCGTATAACCCTCACATAGTTGCCGTCCGGCCAAATGATGCCGCGAACACGCGACCGGCGACCTACAGATTACGAGACTAGCACACTCGGCTCGGCACACTTGGAACCAAGCCATCAAGCTAGCTGATCACCGTCGAGACTCGAGACAAGGTGTAATTTCAGTTTTTCAATTATGCATTGCGGGCTGGGGCATTGTCCGGGTAGCGCCTATCTTTTGTTGCAAAAACAAAATGCGCCCCTCGCTCCAGATTGATTCGCTGTTGCCATGGCAACATGAGGCAGTTTTGCACCCTAACTGCCCCCGTGTTCGATGTCTCTCGAACGACGAAGATTCTACGTCGTCCGGCCAATCCCGTTCAAGGTCAGCGGGGGCTCGGCTGCGGTTATGGAACGTGATTGGTCGGACAACGTAGAATCTGCGTCGTCCGAGAGACATCGAACGAGGGGTTTATCATCATTTTATTTTAACCGGAGCACTAGCTGCTTTATATATAACCTTGATCAATGAGCAGATCCTTTCGTAAAAAAAATTGTTTAGAGTTTCAACCGCGACCGACTTCAGCATTTGCACGGGTAATGTATTAATATGTGTTTTTTTATGCCATATATAGGTAGTTCATTTAGGGCATAATCTAACCTGCCCTGATTAGATGCCCCATTTGGGGCAGAAATCGGGCTGCCCGGAAGTCAACTGCCCCATTTGGGGCAGGATTCCGGCTGCCCCAAACAGGACACGCCTAAGAGCTGGACTTTTTGATGACGTCTTCGGGTGACGTCATGTCGTGTGTGACGTTTCGTGGGCAGGTAAGGAAAAGTCACCACCGCTGGCGAACATTGGTGCGGTAAGCGTATTTTGAATTCACCATAGGGCTCAGCCATTCCTAGAGGAATTCTAGGCACCTTGGAAAAAAGCGAAATCGCGCTAGGGATTTCAGCCGATCTGGCAGCTCTTCCGATGCCACTGGCGCGCCTTTTAATCCAAAGCGCCTTTTTCGTGTCTCATGTTTGCTCGTTTATTGCGGAGGCCTATATACGCTTCAAGATGCTGGAAAAGGTTGGTGATTAATAAGTATTTCCATTTTAGGTGCATGTTCTTTGCAAGAAATACAGTTGTTGTTGCTGTTGTTGTGGGTTAGGGCGCAAGAAATACAGGTATATGTCAACTTTAGGTCCTAACTATAACTGTGACGCTGTTGATACAAATCTGTAACAGCAAAAAAATTATGTTTTAGGTTACGTTAGGTTGTAAGTTTTAGGATGCATTGTAGGTTTGTAGGTAGTAGATTGGTAGGTTATAGGTGAAAAGGTAAGGTTAGTTCAGGTTTGATTATGTTTTTCTTTTAGTTACGAGACATATAAGTATCATTTTTGGATTCAGGATGTCAAATAATGGTCGGAAACACTAAATTCAAAATTAACTAATTTTGAAGCGGGGACCTCCATGTGTATCGGCCAAATAATGTAAGAATATGAAAAAAATTATCCATGAAATCTGCTTAGGACTTAAACTTGACATTTACCCACATGGCTATAGGTATCACCAGCAGAATTATAATCTTTACATAATTTTTAAAAAATGCTGTAAGTGAAGATTATGAGTCGTGTAACCATTGTTACTATATTGATATTAAATATTGAATAGGTACAAGTCCGCCACCAACTTTATGGAACATTCCTTCTTCCAACAGGATCACTTCCAAGTAATCTGGAAGGCTGATGCCAAGTACATCTTGTGCGAGAAGCTTGATATGATTCCTGACCTGGAACCGGTGAGCATCAAATATAGCAATTTGCTTAAAGCAATAGCAATTGCTGATGATGGCAATTTCAATTTGCAGTAACACATATTATATGTAATTGGTTTGAGCCATGTTGCAATCATTTTATAAATGAAAACTTCCATTTTTAAAATGGAACTATCAACTTTCCCCACAGGCTTCGGTAACAAAGTTTTATCAATTGTGAATGACAATATTATTGGTATGAGTGGTGTGTGCGGTGATCTGTATTTGAATATAACGCGTCTTGTCACTAAGTATTTGTCATCTGCATTATAGCTGACTATTACGGTAATACGATCGTGCATTGGTCCCAGACAAGAATACCCCAGTGAGACCTTGCATTATTTCGTTTCAGGAGTTGATGGAGGGCACCACTGTGGCCTACCGATATCCGGCGTCAAAGGAATCGGCCCTGCAGTGGATTCAGCTGTACCAAGAGGCCGCCAACATCCCCCTGACGACGTACGACTCCATGTCGAATGGCCAAAGGGTGGTGTACTGGGTGAGAGCTTTAGTTTATGAAATACCAGTTTGGGCTCGCCGTGTAAAGCTCGGCAGGGGGGTACTTTTGCCCGAGCACTCGACCTGTGCCCGCCAATGGAAAATTCTGCTGGTGCAGAGCCTCCTGAGGGTTCAGCAAAGACCCGCCGTATGAAAGCCTGTCGGGGTCTACTGACAGAGGGCCCGGCGGCCTGGGCTCGCTGCATGAATCCCCAGCTTGATGCCGCGTACTGAGGACCAGTCATCCAGCCGTCATACCGGGTGTCTCGGAGGACTGGACGGGCACCTACCAGCGGGCCCGCTAGATTTCGGGAGGGTCAGCTGACCCCTTTGTCCCCCTGACTCCTCCCTGGGTGCGCCACTGCACCCAGTAACTTTTACTCTTTTATATCGCAGGAAGGTGCGGGTTAATGAAACACCATGATCAGGGTCAGTTAAAAAGGTAACGTTTTTAAATCGAGAAACTTTCATCCTCATTTAAATGACGGACTAATGAGTGGCAATTGATTTCATCACTTTTGTTAATGTTGTCAATTTTTTTTTCAGGCCAGGCTTCGTTGTCACCACGACGTCCCAGAAAAGCCGAGTCGTCCGAGGAAAAACCAATCCGCCAAGGACACCGGGTGCCCCCTGCGCCTGAAAGTGACTGTCGCCAACATTCCAAAACGGCAAGTTTCTCACCGTCTTTTGTCATTGGCACCTTTTACCAGGGCTGCGGAGTCGACCCAACTTTAGCCAACTCCGACTCAGTGGCGGCGGAAGGTATTCTAGGATAGGGGTGCAAACGATATTGAAGCGCCCCTTCCCGCTGGGCGCCCCTTACCATATACACGGCTGCAGTAACACAAACAGTGAAGAGACGTTTAATACGCCCAAGCACTAGGGGTGTAACCGCCCATACGGACAGTGCAATTTTACAGGCCCCAATCTAAGACCTCCCTTAACATTCATATGTTGTAAACCGCAAACCGCCCCCGATAAATGTTACACAAACTAATTTCCTCTCGCATATCGGCCATCAGGCGCCCCTTTTTGTCGCATGGAGCCTGCAACGCTATAAGCCCTCATATGTTCGTGTTGGCGTTCGGAGGCTATCGCCTTCAAAGACGTCTCCATAAATGTTTCTTTTTCGTCCCACACACAGGCATGCAGGCGCCCCTCTTCCGCATGGCGCGCTTCTCGAGTGGCTGCGCCCTCCTAGCCTTTATCACCTGGCAAGATTATATTCGACAGGGTCGGCCGCGGCAGCATCTGCCTTTGTTTCAGATAAGGATGCCCTCCACTCTTCAGCATATCAAAAGATACTTTTCCCCCGTCATTGCCACCCTCTTCGTGACACAAGTGCCTTTATCAGTTGCGGTGTCGCACTGCTCAGCTTTATGGCTGCCGCACCTCTTAACTTCCTGCCTCCTCTACAGATTTCGAGGCGCCCCTTTCCATAGCTTTAGGGTGCAGCTGCCCCCCTTGCCCCCCTGCTTCCGCCGCCACTGCTCCGACTCCGACTCCGGCCTCACAAAATCGACTCTGACTCCGACTCCGACCTATTAGTTCTGGAAAGCATTTATTTGGCCCTTTGGTTCACCGAACCAGTGCAGAGACGTGAACTTCGGGAGAAAAGAAAAGGCTGATCAAAATCGTAGGTCGATTTTGTTGTCTGACCACTTTGGATCATCGGGATAATTGCCATTTTGCTTTCACCAGACAACAATTTCACTTGATGAAAGGCGATTTTCGGACTACATGGCCGGAGTCGGTAAAATCTTATCGACTCTGGCCAAGAAAAAAGATCGACTCCGACTCCGACCAAAACTGTTGACTCCGACCGACTCCGACTCCGACTCCGCAGCCCTGCTTTTTACAAACGCCTTAGTTGATCAAACGATCAACCGCAATTGAAAAAAAAACTACATATTTGATGAAGGAGTTCGCTGCCGAAAAGATTTCAAGTCGCTATCTTTCTTAGTTGTGCCAATCTTGGCTCAGAAAACTAAAAACGGTGATAATCCGAAACATTTCACCTCGCTCGTTCCTTGCCTCAAAAGGTTTCTTGCTGGTACCTTATAAAAGTGCGTGGAAGGAGCGGAATTTCTTCTGAATAACACCATCGTCTCGTGTTTTTTTTTATATTTGTTGACGAATCCTCCCTTTCCAGGAATAGGTCTACAGACCCATGCGCGGCTTACGAGCTACGGGTGACATGTAACAAGAAGCCCCACAACCACGCCGTGGACAACGCTGCCGCTCTGAGACATCGACGCGTCTCTGAGCTGACGAAGGCCCGGCTGATGGAGCTGTTCCAGCACCACCACTCGCCCTCCACGGCGCTGGAGACCCTGAAACTACAGCTTCAGGAGGAGCATGGGAGCGCCTACCCGTCGGTGGCCGCAGACCGAGCCATTGTCCCAGATAGGATGGCCGTCTACTAGTAAGTTTTTAACAGCTTGATGCAAAGCCACACTGCCACAAGTTAGCAAGTCTGTAGGGACAGTATCTGAAATAATTAGACTTTCCCTATAAAGTTACACATGATTCTCATATATGAGATGCAATTGATCGTTACACGGAGCAGAGATGATAGGGCTACTCAGAAAAGAAGGCCGCATGTCTGGGATATGTGGTTGCGATCCGAGACTGATCTGGCCATTGACAATTTTTGGGTCCCCTATTGCAATCTGCCTGTTTTCGTGTCACATCCAGTTCTACTGTTATCTATGAATTGTGTTGTGCTAAAAACTCGCAACATTTTACGCTGCGATAAATGCACTCTGGTTTAGTAAAAGCTATCGATAATCATATTACGTACGCCTATGTGTCAGGGTCATTTCCGTTTTCCTGCTATTCGTGAAAAACCTGAAGGGGAATGGCGTCTAAACGCCCCCCTTCCGGCCCAGCGCAGGTTAACATTATTTTCACCTTGGATTTGTGTAATTCAATGCGCTGAGGGGTAAGCTATATTTTGATTGGGACGAATCAGGAACAAGTGGGACAGCTGAAGCTTAACCATAAGTACACTGTTATGCAATCGGTATTTTATCACAAAATGAAACTGACCACCACTTGCAGCTGGAAGTCAATTGACAATGCAATGTGTTTTCAGCCTGTACTACAAGCACTGTCGGGAGCGTTACCCAGCCTCGACCCAGGAGGAGACCATGGACCTCATCCGCCACATGAAGGACGTCCGCACGGCGGTCTCAGTCGAGGACGGCGAGACGGTGATCGCGGCGGTGACGCCGCTGATGGAGCGCGTCCACACGCTCCCCGACGCGGGAGAGGTGGTCTTTGTCGACGCCTCAGGAGGGATGAACCGGCACGGCCAGCGCGTCTTCCTGCTGATGTGCTGGAGCCCGGCCGGTGGTCTGCCTCTCGGTGTCATCGTCTCCACCTCGGAGACCGAGGCCGTGGTGGACAAAGCCTTCCGGCTGCTCGTCGGGATTTTACCAGACGGTACGATATACCTACATTTGCCATGAATTCCCATATCTGGCGGCTAAACTCTGAATTGTCCAGTCAGTTGTGCATTGGTGTATAAAATCCAATATCGTGTTTGACCGAGAATGCTTCTTTGACAGGCGCCTTTGGCGGGCGTGGAAGGCGCGGCCCTCTGTGCTTCATGACGGACGACTGTCAGGCCGAGCGGAACGCGCTGTCGGCGGTGTGGCCTGAGGCGCGGCTCCTGCTGTGCACGTTTCACGTGCTGCAGGCCGTCTGGCGATGGCTTCACAACGGCAAACATGGCATCGACAAGCAAGTGAGTAGTTTCTACTGGGAATGAATTTCCGTTCATTTTTGTCTAATTACCCCTTTTTGAGAAACACAGAGAGAGAGCGAGAGAGAGAGAGAGAGAGAGAGAGAGAGAGAGAGAGAGAGAGAGAGAGAGAGAGAGAGAGAGAGAGAGAGAGAGAGGGAGAGAGGGAGGCACAGAAAGAGACAGAGACATAGAGAGAGGGAGGGAGAGAGAGAGAGAGAGAGAGAGAGAGAGAGAGAGAGAGAGAGAGAGAGAGAGAGAGAGAGAGAGAGAGAGAGAGAGAGAGAGAGGCAGGCAGACAGCTGGGCAGAGGCAGGCAGAGGCAGGCAGTCAGGCATAGACAGACATAGGCTGGCAGTCAGGAATAGACATGCAGTGATACTGGTCTAAAGGCTGTAAAAGAACGTAAATGAGTTTGATTAATTTCATCTCAAACACCCCGTATATTTACATTTACCTTCACCCTTCACCCTTCACCCCTCCCGCCTCCCACACTCGGATACCAGTTAAATTGTGCATTTTCTTCCAGCACAGGCAGGCTATCATGGCACTAGCCAAACAGCTCGTGTACGCCAACAATGAGGCGGAGATAGCGACGACGATGGAGCTGGTGGCTACCGAGTGGGGCGAGCGCTACCCACTGCTGGACCAGTACCTGCAGGGTTTCGCTGCCCGCCGTCAAGAGTGGGCGCTGTGCCTCCGCACGGATGTCCCCACCCGGGGACACAACACGAACAACATCGTGGAGTCCGCCTTCAGAGTCCTCAAAGACTCTGTCCTCTACAGGTCAGTCTTTATTCATATGTTTCACCTAATTGCGGTTCAATAAATAAAACAGTTAACCTGGCGTTCATAGACAAACCTGTCTTTTAACTAAAGTTGATTGTAAAACTGTTTCGGTGACCGGAGGTATTGCAATAGATTCATTACTATTTTAAAATATTTCAAGTTGTAAGGTTGCCCAAAAGTGGCAAATGTTGAAGAAATGTCAAAGTTGCAGTTACAGACAAATTCCAATTAATAAAGACAAATAATTGGAAAAAAGCCAAAGCAGGGGAGTAGTTTTTCCTTTCAATATAGGTCGGAGGGCTGAGAGTGAGCCGGTAAAATGTTCTCGAAAACACCATCAAAATCCCTAGGACTGTGCAATTCTCCCCAGTGTCTGCCAAAGTTCAGAGCCTGAAGCCCCCGAAACGGAATTGGACCATACATCCCTTCGTCAAAGACGTTAATTACTAACTTGTGACTTTCATGGATTAACACGGATTAACTTGTGAATATCACGGTTTTACATTTCTGTTAACCCTACATGTGGAAGAAAAACAAACTTTCGCATTTCGGGTAGGTTGTGAAATTGTTAGTTGTGCTTTTGGTTGCTCTTCTGAAAGCCTTATTGTGTCCATACGCTGGCAGTCTACCGTTAATTATAGCTGCAAAGAAATTGTTGAAATATTCGCTTGACACGCGCTGTTTTTCCAGGACTCGTGCGTTCAACCTGCTGCAGCTGTTTGATTTCGTCACGGTCCAGCTCAGCAAGCACTACGCCAGGAGGGCGTGCGACGTGGCCAACGGCCGGCAGCGGGCGGCACTGCGCCGGTCCGCGGCGGCACCAGCCAAGAAACGGGCACTGTGACGCAGGTATTTTGCATGACACGAGAACTGATTAAGGTCACATAAGACAGCTCGTTTTCCAATGCTGGTCCCACCCGTACTGCCACATGGCTGTGCAAAGTGACCAATGCAATCGGCGCGCCCCTAAGCACCAATAAACCACATGGCTGTGCATTCACACACAAGAGTCTGTCACTGTACCGCTGTGCCACTGTAGGGCCGCGTGGTGTTGGCGCTGTGTGCCACATCTCGTGACTCGTTTCGCGTTTTTTTTTCTTGTTTCTTCTTTTTTCCCTTTGGGGGTCTGTTTTAAAAGGCCAAGCTGACAGTACTGGGGCGAATGAACAGGTTCGGATTTTCGTACAAGTAACCGTCCGTCAGTTTATGTTGTACAGTCTGTCTTAAAAGTCCGCGAAAAAGCAACGGTGGATCCATCAAGCCTGACCGAGGAAGGGCCTGCTCAATTTGAGTCATCAAAGCAATTGATATTCTCGTCCATTCCCCAGGTCAATTGGTTCGGTGACTTTCAAAGTAAAGCAGGCCTTTCTTCAGTAAGGCTTGATGGATCCACCGTCACTTTGCGCGGTACTTTTAAGACAGACTGTACATACGAATTTTACAGGATTTTATGTGTTGCCCCTCCCACAGGTGACGGAGTTCACCTATCAGGTGAAGTCGCTGACGTCGGTCGGCATCACCTACCTGGTGGACCTGAACGTCGGCGCCTGCACCTGCAGGATGAACCGGCGGACTGGCGGCTGCAAACACCTCCGAGCCGTGCGGCAGCAGACTGGCGCTGTGCCGGAGGCGACGGCGACAAAGGAGACGCGGAGGGCCTTGATGGACATCGCCATGGGGACCAGCCAGCAGCTGCCAGGCAACTGGTTCGACCCTCTGGTCGCCGAGCCGTCCACCTCGTCACCTCCTGGCCCCACGCCCGCCAGCGCCCCCGGAGTCGCGCAGCCCCAGCCGTCGCCTGGTCCCGAGGAGTACGACGACGACGCAATGGACTTCGAGGACCCCGCCGCTGCGGCGGCGGCTGTCAGTGGAGCTGAGCAGCGACGCTCAGATGACCGGACACGCCAAACCGTGGCGTTCATCCAGGAGTGGGCAGCCTTCATGTGCGAGGCAGTCGTCCAGGACGACACCTGGGAGAGGGCTGCCGCTGCCTTCCAGCAGAGGTGGGGCCAGCTGCCCACTGCTGGCCGCCAGTCCGCTCTGCACCAGTTTGGGGGTGCGCAGGGCTGCCGGCGGAACGCCACCCAGATTCCGGTCCAGCCGACCAGCACTGCCCGTCGCACCAGCACCAACGTGCGGGGTCGCGCTCGCTGGCCCGCTGGACGGCCGTGCCGCTCCGCGCGCACCGGGGAGCACGGCTACGTGGCAGCCTCCGCCAGGCGGTCGGCGGCGCCCCACAGCCTGGCCACCTGTGTTGACCAGAACCGCCCCCTGGGGCGCTGAGTGGTAGAGGTGAAGTGGGGGTGACCGGGGCAAGTTGGTGCCAGGGGGGGGGGGGGGTAAGTTGGGACGGAAGGGATATTTCCAATACTTCTCGACAGTTGGCGTTCAAACTTATTTTGTACATGCACAGTAACGCCGTCTGTTTGTCAACGTGGTGTCGGCGCGTGCTGAGGTAAGTGCTGTTAATAATCGCTACAAATGTGTTTCAGGTACCAAAAGTGATTTTCTTGCTGTGAAAATATTCTCTTCTAGTGTCGTTGTGTGTGCCTTTTTGTTTGCCGCAGGAGTACTGCAAACGTTTGTGTTTTGTCGTTAATGCCCGCATGGATTAGCGATGATTGTTCATGTGAAACATGAATAAAAATGTGTTTAGATAAACTGTTTTTCCTAGTGTACCAACTTGCCTTAGGCCCTGGCCCAACTGACCCCCCGCCGCGGGGTAAGTTGGGACATTGGAGGATGGCCGCTTTGATCAGATATGACACCAAGACGATGCTACCATCTCTCTTATATTAAGTCTTCTTTAAAAGATAAAGAAATCAGATCTCAGTTAATAGCCAACAAATAATGATGTATAGTTATACCGAAGTTATGACGCTTCAAGCAATAACTGGCTCAACTAGCGTTAGCGGAATGACGCAAAATTAGCAGGTGACCAGTGACCACTCCCAGTTCGCTAATATGTTTGCATCATTAACATACCTTCCACTATAAGCACGGTTTCTCAATCTTAACATAAAATATAACATCTTTTCATGTAATTTGCATCTCTAATATACCCCAGTCAAACTTGCATCACTAATGTAGTGGGGGACTTCTTGGGACGAATTAGTTTCTAGGGACTTACACATTTATGCTCATTTCCCCACATTTGTCGCCAGGGGGAGAATTCCACAGAATTTTCCGCTAGGAGTGGCTGAGCCCTATGGTGAATTCAAAATACGCGTGCGGTAAATGGCAAACACAAATGCTGCGCAGAAAAGACAAATGTGTAACTTCAGACAACATTCGTTCGGACGACAATGTCAAGGCGAATCAAGAAGTTCTTCGTGCGATTGTTAGGTAGTTATCTGTCTTGCTATTTTAGTATTATTGTTATTAGCAGTTGATTTGTGAAATCCTCAAGGATCTGTCTTGGGTCCTACCTTGTTTATTATCTATGTTAACGACCTACCCGAATGTGTAACGAACTGCGTTCGGATGTTCGCCGATGACACCAAGATGTACTGCCGCGTTCCTACTGCGCTTTCCATGCCAACTCTTCAGCAGGACCTTGACGCCCTCCTTCGCTGGTCGGAAACGTGGCTCCTCCGCTTCAACGCAAGTAAATGCAAGATTATGCACATTGGGACCAGAAACCCTCGCATGCACTACAGCCTCGGAGACAGTGCCATCAGCGAGGCGACCGTAGAGAAGGACCTCGGCGTCATCATAGATCACCAACTCAAGTTTCATGAGCAGACAGCGGCTGCAGTGTCGAAGGCCTCTCAGGTGTTGTCGGTCATCAGGCGGTCATTTGCGAACCTGGACTCAAACACCCTCCCATTACTATTCAAGACACTGGTGAGACCGCTGTTGGAGTATGGGAACCTCGTATGGGGACCGTTTAGTAAGCTGGACCAGAAGAAGGTTGAGCGGGTGCAACGAAGAGCTACTCGCCTGGTACAAACTGTCCGACACCTGTCGTATCCAGAGAGGTTGCGCGCACTGAAGCTCCCTTCGCTATACTACAGACGTCAACGGGGTGATATGATAGCCGTCTATCAGATTCTGCATGGTGGCATGGCGGTCCCCACCGAGAAGCTGCTCTCCAGATCAACTTCAGGAAGAACAAGAGGCCATGAGTGGAAACTAGCGAAACCGCGGGCCACGACGTTCATCCGAAGACACTCTTTTAGTACACGTGTTATTAACCCATGGAATGCTCTCCCGCAAGCGGTCGTATCAGCTACGTCAGTCAACCAATTCAAGACCAGGCTGGATGCCCACTGGGCTGACATCATGCAAAGCCTTCCCACCTGAACCCGATCTTACCCAACCTGAGGCTGACTGTCGATAAGCACTGGGAGCTCGCTGAGACCGGGCCCCACAGGCCAAATTGGCCTCCCACAACCCGTATACCGTAAGGTTGTAAGGTTGTAAGGTTGTATTATCAAAATCAATGTTTATTGAACGCAGATTCAGTTTATTGTACCTAGGTACCCTTACACCTTACACTTCACTCATCTCAAGCTGTTCAAACACCCTTGACAAAGTCGATTAAGATGAAACGCTGGGTATAATTTATACCGTGTTTTCTCTGCATTATTAACATATTCATCATATATACAATATAAGGGCCACATGCTTTTTACAGGGAGACATGTCAGACAGCCCAGTAGGATGAGGCTTCGTCAAGCGTCATTTTTAGCAAAGCTTTTCTTGCCTAAAATCCAGTCTGCAAAACATGGCAGGGCTTACACTTTGGCTAACACTTGACTCCCAGCTGTTGTGTCTTTGCTATGCGATGTTAAACCTATAAAACATCTTACTTTTCATGTATGCGCCATGACTCATGTAATCTTTTCACAGCCAGGACGCTCCTAAGGTACCTACTGGGAATGTGGGGAGTGCAGCAGCATCAGTGCAGCACCGATGGTCGCATGCGACGGCTGCGATAAATGGTACCACTTCCGTTGTGCGGGACTGACTAAGGAGCCAGGTAAGCGCAAATGTTTTCTGGCTCAGTATTTTTGTTGCAGCTATAGTGATCAATGAAATATTTTCCGCACTGTTCAGCCAAACATGTATTTCAAACAATCTGCTTCCCAACCAAGGGTGTCGCCACAGGGGGGGGGGGGGACAGAGGGAATCTCGTCCCCTCCACTTTTTAAAATTTTAACATTACGCCTATGGCGTTGCATGGAAAGAATCGACTTGAAATGGTCCTCGTCCCCTCCAAAATGGTCAATGTCCCCTCCAGTCGTCGCACCGTGGCGTCGCCCCTGTTCCCAACTACACAAATTTAGTCAAACAATGTGCCAATATGGAATTTTCAGGTTCAGTTGAATGAAATAGGAACAATGATAATTGTAGATTACGTATACCTGCAAGAGAGGAAAACAGAATACATTGTATTGCTTGTCCTTCACCGATACTGTTATTTTTCCATTTCTAGAAACACCGACATGGCGATGCAGGTGATACTGCCTGGTGAGGCCGCGGTCTCCGGAATCGCCTGCAGACGAAGTCACCTGGCGTCCATCTGCACATCACTTGCAGCAGTGAGGCCTGCTGACAGCGTCTGGCAGTGTCGGCAACGTGCCAGCCAGCTATCTGGAGTCCTGCTCACCGCAGGTCGCCGACAGGAAGGGGCGACGCATCGTCTCCGAGGTCGCCTCAGCAGCAGTGAGACCCCACTGGCCGTCTTCTTAGGCTTCAACTAGATTGCGAACAACCTATGCTGAGACAACGCCCATGACGTGTGATCCGGTACCGCTACCGCACTGCGTGCCTGTGCCCGCCGTGAGCCGCTAGTGCATGGGTTCGACCATGAGAATATGTGTTTATGTTGCTTTTACTATTGTTTATACGTTGAAGTGACGAATTGTTTATTTTTCGCAAGCCTCCACTGTCCGGTTGCCTGCAGCTCCATGCAACGCCAGCTGTACTGTTGTTTTAATGTTGTCTCTCCGCTCAGCTGTACTGTTGCCTCTCCGCTCATAACAACCTATGCTGAGACAACGCCCATGACGTGTGATCCGGTACCGCTACCGCACTGCGTGCCTGTGCCCGCCGTGAGCCGCTAGTGCATGGGTTCGACCATGCGAATATGTGTTTATGTTGCTTTTTATATGTACTGTTGTTTATACATTGAAGTGACGAATTGTTTATTTTTCGCAAGCCTCCGCTGTCCGGTTGCCTGCAGCTCCATGCAACGCCAGCTGTACTGTTGTTTTAATGTTGTCTGTCCGCTCAGCTGTACTGTTGCCTCTCCGCTCATATATGACACCCTCTATATGAATGGCACTACTGATTGTCACACCCACTGTCCGTATTGTCCGTAGTGGTGTCTACGCCCATGTTAATACAGCGTGCAGAATCCAGATTCTATTGAGGAGAGTTGAGCCAAGTCACCATAGGCTCGGGAAGAGAGCAACGTGGAGGCCCACTGCCCCTTCCCCGGCCCCCACTGGGGGCGCCAGCCACTCCAACTTTTGACTGGATGTCAAGAGCGTCGCCACGAGGGGAACGAGTCGCCGGCCAGCCAAGGTAGCCAACGGCGTGTGAAGGTTGCCTGACCTCGAGGAAACTGAGATGGCACCAACGGAGGTTTTGTTAAGTAGGCGACCAAAATTCGAGCGGCAGCAACCTGGGCACCTTCACAGATAGCAGTGCCGCGTATCAGGGCGCCTTCGACGTTGAGCTGGGCGCCGATCATCAGGACGCCGGGGGAATATGACCCAATATCCCCCGTAAATATGTGCCTCGGAAGGGAGACCCAACCATAAAACTGAAAGCTCGCCGTATTTTATCCACTATTTTTCGAGCAGGTCCATAGATTTCCGTCCTCAAAAGTGCGGGGATATTCCCCAGTGTTTGAGTTGGATGGGACTATAGTGGCGTTTACACCGACAGGAGATTCCCATTGCCGGCTGTGGGAAACTACTGTCGGTGTAAACGCTATTCATATTTCCTGCGTCACCCCTGTGGGGACGCCCTTACTCCATGGTGCCGAGCTTATCAATTTGGATATCAATGGAATCAAAATCTCTTATCGATCGATGAAGAACTAAATTACCCCGACCCGGAGAGCGTCTTTGGAATCAAAGCAGTAGCACATGACGCAAGACTTCAGGCAAATAAATCCTTCTTGTGTGAAATAAAACATTTGTGTATTGATAAGCACGTTTTATAAGCAATGGTAGCAAGATTCTCCATGTATTTGGTCAGAGTGATAATTTAGTAGCAGATACTTACCGTCGCATTTCGTTTTTTTTAATTAATAATTTAAATTGTCAGAACTAGCAACATGTCTCTTCACTCAACAATAATTACAAAAGTGAAAAAGAAATGATAAATTGCTTATATTTTGGTGAAACTAAAAATTAATTCAGCACATATTTTTTTTACAGCGTTGAAGTCCAGCTCCAAAGGACAGCTGACGATCGTAGCGGAGCAGGCTGTTTGGTACTTCTTCACTACTTCTTAGAAGTACCCGTTAGTACCGATAATGTCTCACATAATAAGCTATTGGAACAAAAATATCCATGTTCTTCTAATTATTCTCCTTTCACACTTAAAATAAATACTTTTGAAATGCATTTACTAATTAATTTCACAAAAACGGCTTGAAATTTTACAACGTTAAAATACTTATTCCAATTTCCACCAT